TCAAGCCATGGTTGATTGAGTACCTATGGACATGAGGGGCAAACAGTAGTTTCATCTTTTCCTTGTTTATTGCTCATAAAAGGAGCCGTGGTGGCACAATAGGTTAATAGGTGTTGGCTGAACTGCTGACCTGAAGGTTGGTGGTTCAAACCTGTGATATGGGTGAGCTTTCAACTGTCAGCTCCAGCTTCCCATTCAGGGACATAAGAAAAGCCTCCCACAGAATGGCAAAATATCAGGGCATCCCCTTGCAGATGGCCAATTCTCTCACAACAGAAGCAACTTGCAGTTCCTCAAGTCGCTTCTGACATGATAAAAAACTGTCATAAAAACTGCATCCATACAAATACTCTGCATATAATCAGTTACCTTATCCTCTAGCTCAGAATATGCTGAATATCTCTGGAAAACATATGATGGCTTTGTACAACTCATATTAGGAATGTTTGTGGATGCACTGTACCAAATTTACGCCTGTGAATAGACTGAATGATAGAGACACTTTACCAAATGAAAGCTTCAACCTGAGTGAAAGAATGCCACCAGTGACACACTGAGGAAATATCAGAATATTCTCATCAGTGGGTCATTTGTGGCCTTCGAGATATTATTGGCGTTGGCCTTTAAAGCCCTAAACGGTTCTGGCCCAAGCTACCTATCCGACCGCATCTCTGCCTATGAACCCACCAGGACTTTGAGATCTTCCAGGGAGTCCCTGCTCTCGATCCCGCCTGCTTCTCAAGCTCGGCTGGCGGGGACGAGAGATAGGGCCTTCTCGGTGGTGGCTCCTCGGCTGTGGAACGCCCTTCCTACGGACATTAGACTAGCACCATCTCTAATGGTATTCCGCAAAAAGGTGAAGACCTGGCTGTTTGAGCAGGCGTTCGAATAATTAGTGCAATGATTGGTTAATGAACACTGGAATGGAACAATGGATGACGAATCTGGAACATGTTTTTGATGACGAGACGACAGTGAATGGGTATTGTAGTAACTGTTTATTAATTGTGTAATGTGTTAGGTTGTTAACTGTTTCTATACCGTAGCACTGAATTTTTTGCTGTTCGTATTTGTTGTGAACCGCTGTGAGTCGCCTTCGGGCTGAGAACAGCGGTATATAAGTAAGGTAAATAAATAAATAAATAAATTGGAATCTTAACTCCCACCAGACCAAATCAACATGAAAGATGGGGTTTGTAGGCTCAAATCTCAGGCATGCTGTCAAAACTACACAGTTATTACTTTATAGAGTGCTGAGCACTGCAGCCTGCTGGGGCCAGGTGCAGTCATGCAGCATCCTGTGCAAAAATGCCAGAGAAACACATCCCCCACTCCTGCCTTAAAAATTGCAATGGGGGTTCTCATTTCATATTAGCAATGTTGTCCTTAAGAAATGTTTTTCAGTATAGATGGAACCCTGGGTTGTGTTGGAGTGTTGCCGAATTTCTAAAATATCACTGAAAACAAGATTCTTTGGCGTATTTCCCTGAACATATCCTACGCAGCCCATTAGGGGCAGTCACTCATTTGCTTTGTGCACTGTAAGACCACTGCAAGTGAATTCTAAATGAGGTGTGAACTAGTTCTAACCTGATACTGTGCCTTGCCTTGATAACCTGTTCCTGCCAGCCCAGGAATTTCCATGTAATTACCAAGTGTGAATAAATGGGACTGGGTCTACAGCCAAATCCTCCAACTTCCTAAGCACAAACCAAAATACAGGCAGTCCCCAAGTATTTTTATTGTTATTATTTACTATGTTTATACCCTGCCCTTCTCAATCCCGAAGGTGACTCAAGGCAGCTTTACACATAGGCAACTATTCGATGTCTTAAAACAATGTACAATTAACATAAACATTTAAAGATAGAATTAAAACACATTAAACATATAAAAACATTAAGGTAAAGGTAAAGGTTTTCCCCTGACATTAAGTCAAGTCATGCCCAACTCTGGGGGTTGGTGCTCATCTCCATTTATAAGCCGAAGAGCCGGCAATGTCCGTAGACACCTCCAAGGTCATGTGGCCGGCATGACTGCATGGAGCATCATTACCTTCCCGCTGGAGTGGTACCTGTTGATCACTCACATTTGTATGTTTTTGAATTGCTAGGTTGGCAGAAGCTGGGGCTAACAGCAGGAGCTCACCCCGCTCTCCAGATTCGAACCTGCGACCTTCCAGTCAGCAAGTTTAGCAGCTCAGGGTTTAACCCACTGCGCCACCGGGGGCTCAATTACATTCACTCTTAACCACGCTATCTGCAATCGGAGGACTGACTGTGTGTAATGTATGTATGTATGTTTGTGTGCACACGCACACACACAAAATACAACTTAAATTAGATACACATGCATTTTCTCCAAAAGTTTCAAGGATCCATCTACTGAGCCAACCAAATAATTCATAGATGTTAGATTGCAACAAAATCAATTAATGAACCAAGTTCCAAGTCATCCTATCCTCAACATCTCTGCGCAGATCTTGTAATCCTAGGGCCACCAGGCATTCCAGAACAATCTGGAATTTGATCTTCCTTCTTTTCTATTCCCTTCTACCTTCCTAGTAAAAGCTGTAAGATAATACAATACATGATGATAAAGGATGGAAAGTTTAATAGAACTTAAATTAAGAATTGCTGTGGACGGAAATACGAGAACAATTTGCCCACCTAGAACCAGCATCAACCATTTAAATATGATTAAATATGATTCCTGGAGTAAATAAAAAGGCCATTTGTTATCACAAGGGTGGGAACCTTGGCTCATGGGTGCCAATCTTGATCTCTGGGGTTGCTGTACTTTGGTGGTTTCTCAGCTTTTATACAGTCGCTCCTTCATTCTAAAAGACTATCCCAAGGTTTCATTATTGATGGTAAGAGCTTTACGCTAAAATATGTTGGTATTTCTGGTTCCATCCTTTTGCCTTGCCCACCACTGGAATGCAGACCACAAGGACACAACTGAAACTGTCTTTAGCTCTTGACAGATAAGGGTTTCCAGATGTGGGAATCACATGGCTTTCCAATATTGTTGGATCACAACTCCTAGCAGCTCTAGCCAGCAGTGTTAGTGGTCAGGAATGATGGGATTTAAGACTTGATAACATGAATCCCTAGCCACTTTATAAAGGGCTGCATGAATCCCTAGCCACTTTATAAAACGCAAAGCAACACAGAAGAGCCATGATCATCCCTTATTTCATCCACCCAAGGAGGCCTGCGTGGCTACGCTTCCATTTCTGTCTACTGTCAAAATATGACGCACCCATGTGGGCAAAGCTCTGTGTACATGTGGGTCATCATTGCCAGGTGCATAGCATGAGGGAAATGGCTATTTCTGTGTATTGTAAAGCTTCATCTGTTGATCTCTTCCTGCTATGCTGCTGCTAAAAGTACACAGTCCTTTCTATATAGGGTGTGGAGCACCATAGGCTGCAGGGACCAGATACAGTCATGCAGCGTCCCTGTGCAGATATGCCAGGAAAAATGTTTGGCCAGCACTCCAGGTTCAGGAAAAAACCGGACTATCCAGCAACCTATTTTCTCAGCTGGACAACAGAACCCAGAGCCAGATGGCAATGCCTGGTAAACAGTGTTCCACCCCATTAACAACTCCATCCCAGGCAAACAGAACCATAGAGAAGAAAACATCCAATGCAGTTGCTTCAGTACTACACATCCCTTCTGCAATTTAAAAAAAACTTTTCCAAACAATAGAAAAGAGATATTATTATTATTATTTATTTAAAACATTTATATTCCGCCCTTCTCACCCTGAAGGAGACTCGGGGAGGAGCACAGCATATACATGGCAAACATTCAATGCCGGGACACAAATTCACATACAATACATAAACATTAAAAAAAAACATTTATCAAAATATTAAAATACACCATTTAAAACTGTTCTAGTCATCCACGTCAATTCTAATTGGCCTGGTCATCATTCCTATTGCCGTTTTATTGCCCTGTTCCGAAAGCTTGGTCCCACAGCCAAGTTTTTACCATCCTTCTAAAGGACAGGAGGGAGGGGGCCGACCTGATCTCACCAGGAAGGGAGTTCCATAGCTAGGGAGCAATAACCGAGAAGGCCCTGTCTCTCGTACCCACCAATCATGCCTGTGACAATGGCAGGACGGAAAGCAGGGCCTCCCCGGAGGAGCTTAATCTCTGCGATGGTTCATAGGGGGAGATGCGTTCAGACAGGTAATTTGATAGATAGATAGGCAGAAGATAGATCTGAATTTATTTTTACATCTCTTGTTGAACTTGCAGTAGACGGGGAAGGACTTCTGACTTCTATTTGCTTAACAAAAGCAGTAGTAAAAGGACTCTTGCTTTCATTCTCTAATTTAAGATGCTAGAATTGAATGTGGTATTAATGGGTACAGATGGGATGAGCAGAGGTACGTGTGGAAAGACTAAAAACCTATTCAATTCTGCTAGTGAAGGAAACTTTCTGGGCTCAGAATCCCTTAATTATAAGCTTGCAACTTTTGCTCCTAGATCTGGTCAGGAGGGTCACAGAGTTCAAATACAGTAGAGTCTCAGTTATCCAACCTTCACTCATCCAACGTTCTGTATTATCCAACGAAGTCTGCCTCACGTCCAGATCCAAAGCTGTTTCAATACATTGCGATGTTTTGGTGCTAAATTTGTAAATACAGTAATTACTACATAATGTTACCATGTATTGAACTGCTTTTCCTGTTGATTTGTTGTATGATGTTTTGGTGCTTAATCTGTAAAATCATAACTTAATTTGACATTTAATAGGCTTTTCCTAAATCCCTCCTTATTATCCAACATTTTTGCTTATCCAACGTTCTGCTGGCCCGTTTATGTTGGATAAGCAAGACTCTATCATAAAACAAATCAAACCAAAATAGGCCCTCAAACATCTCCCCTACAATACCTGACCTAAGCAATTGGGCCTTTCCCTCCATGAACACATTATCCTAAGCATTGGAATAACACTGGAGGTTGCAAAAGGTTATTTACCTGCTGTTGAATTTTTCTGGATGTTTTTCTCTCATCATGTGGAATCTGTGTGCAATAGATGCATCCTATAAAGAAAGAAAACGAGGGAAGCAAACAGGGAGCAGGGGGTGGGGAGAGACAGACAACACATGAGGCCTTGCAAAGAACAAAATCACCTTTGCTAAAGTTTGGATTAATATTTGAATTAGCTAAAGTTTGGATGCCACAAACTAGATACTGCAAACATTGTTCTGCTTTTAGTGACAGTTGGTAGCTTCTATATCAGTGTGGCAGTGAACCTACTCTAGATTTTAGGCTGAACTTTAAAGGAACTATCCATAGGACCGCACTTAGTGAGAGAGACATTTCGATACTCTCGATAGCTTTAAAGTCCAGACTAAAATCCAGATTAGATTCATCACACCCATTGACATGAAGACCATCAAGATACAGTGTCTGGTTTAGTCCTTAAAATGTGCTTTCAATCTTTACAGTCATTTGTAATGACACAATCTTTATTCTGTAATTACGTCTGAAGCTATTTTTCTTCATGGTAGCGCACAAGCCACTGCTGATATTAATTCAACATTAAGTTTTTTGTGTATTTCTCCATGCCCCATAACTTGTGTTTATGATATGGGTAAACAAAAGTGCCAGGCTTTTATGTCAACAGCTTTCTACATAGCCAAATAAACCAGAATATCAAGGCAGAAAATCCCACAATATCTGCTTTGAACTGGAATATCTGAGTCCACACTGCCATATATTCCAATTCAAAGCAAATATTGTGGGATTTTATTCAGCTGTGTGGAAGGGTCCCTAGTACTCTCAGAAAATAAATTTAAAAGGAATTAAAAGCATCCTTGAAATCAGTGAAGACTACCTCCAAACAATCTTCTATGGTGGGAATAAGCAAATGTTGCTGAGCCACAAGTCCCACTAGGCCAGTAATTAAGACTCATGGGAGCTGTAGTCCAACAATATCTAGAGCAGTGATTCCTAACATCCAAGTGTTAGCAGCTTTAGCTACCAGAGGTCCAAACCAGCACAGCCAATTGTCAGGGATGTTGGAGCTGAAGTGTACAGCATCTGAAGGGCAAATGAGAACTACTGATTTGAGGGAAACAGGTTGCCTACTCCTTCTGTATGGAATGGTGCTGAGACAGTGCTGAGGAATATGTGGCCCTACAAATGTTGTTGGACTAAATCTCCTAGAAGTCTCTTGGCAGTACTTTTACTGGCTAGAGCAGATGGATAATATTTATGGGCTACATTTCTCATTCTTGTCTTACACATTTTTGGTGTGCTAGCAAACTCGACATGCGAGTGTGGAGAAGATCAAACCACGGACCACTTACTACAATGCAGTTTGAGCCATACCACATACTCAATGGAGGACCTTTTGCAGCATCATCAAAGGCACTCAAAGTGGCCAGCTTATGGTCAAAGGAAATTTAGTATAATGCCAAATTTTAACTTACTTTGTAATTTTTCTATACATTATAACTATATTCTCAATTTGCTACTGACACGATAAATAAATAGCGAACATGATTTCCCCTGTATCTGTCATGTCCTCAAATATATGAGTGCTTATAGGCAGAACCATAGCCAGAAAAAAATGTCAAAGGGGCCGGGGGGGGGGGGGGGGGGGGGGGGGGTTGATTTCTTTTTAGAGAATCATGAGAAGTAGATCCATAACACAAAATAATTTAAATAATATAATTCATTCTATATTTTATATAGACTTAAATCAATTTTCTCATCTCCTTCATGGGGGGGGGGGGCTTCAAATCCCTCCCATGCCTTAGGCTTTGCCTACTAGTTGTGGGTGGGCCAACTTGATTGTTTCCACTATATCACCTATTGCTGCAAGTAATTACTGTGAATAAACTGTCAAAATTTGCTTGAGATAGTGCTTGCAGTTCTGGAGGGACCTGTTTAATTTTTGCTTCTCACAGACTTAGCAGCATGGGGATTGGGTTAACCTGTTAAAATTCATGAGTAAACCAGGTTTTTTTAACCTGAAAATGGGGGGGGGGGAGTTTTGAACAGCTCTGCTCATAGGTTAGAAGAGCTATTATATGACTATAGCAATTCCAGTCCCTTGGTAAACATAGTTGAAGGCTTCTGGGAGCTGAAGTCCAAAAATTAACATTTCAAAGTTCTGGCAAGTGTTTGCTTTGAGAAACATTAACACTCAAGTACAGCCACATGACAGAGGGAGCAAGCTAGAAAAAGAGAGGGTGTGTGGTCACAAATAGTAACACACAGCCCTCTCCTGCTGTCTCTGAATCTGGATAGCCCCAGGAATGTGCTTCGCTTCATCCAGGGATTAGCAGACCATTCATCACCCACATCTCAGTGATTGGGTGCAGAGGTGTCACTAGGCAGGGGATGCAGTGAGCCCCTGTCCTGATCTATTTGTAATCCAAAACTTCCTGTTAGTGATATAGCTGCTGGCCCACAATTCTCACAGCCAAAAATAAAGAGGGAAGGGAGAAGATGGGAAGCAGCATATGGCAGCCGAGGCTCATGGAGGTGAAACCACTTGTCATCGTGTTCACTGGTATGGCCTTATTTAACGGCAGCTTGACAGCACTGAGATTCCACCACATTGTGGCTAGATTATTTACATCTCCTTCTTCCACTGCATAATCTATTATAACTGATTGCAATGAATCTATGGATGTAGTGCCAGTATGATTACTATTACATTGAAGTAATTTTCCTTAAAAGGTTTGCAAAGCATTAAACTTGATTTGAAGTTCTTTAATGAAATATTAATCATGGCCTACAGAATTTAAAAGGTCAGCACATCAGTTACAGCCATTTGTAAGACCCACTGCTCCTGTCTGTAACACAGCCACGACAATCATCAATCACTTATAAATGGAACCTTAATATAACATGAGACCATGCTTCAGTGTTTTTTTTTAATCAGCTGTTTCTTCTACCATGTCAGAACATTAAACTGGTCAGCTGTTGTGAGTGAGTTCTTAGCAACCTCATAACATAGGTAAAGTGATACCTTTCATTGGGCCAACTTCTATCAGAGAGGAAGTATGCAAACCATGAAGTTACACAGAATTCCCAATTGGACAGAAAAGCTCCCACAAGCAGAGGGGGGAATCCCGGAGAAGCTCTGGCATTGTTGAATTGCAACTCTCAGCATTCCTCACCATTGACTGGAAGGACTGAAAGGAGTTGCAGTCTAACAAAACAATTCAGCATGGCTGTATGGTTCCCACCCTACTCTATAGCAAGAAAGCACACTCATTAGGGCAGAAGTATTTCACCAATGATGATAGTAAGCAACATGTGTTGACATAGAACAGCTGGACAATCAAACGCCTGCCTTATGTTCTATGTCTATGGGATGAGGGAACTGGGATTGAGTTTAAAACAGAATACTATGTACCCACAAGTCAACTGTATAGAAGGGAAATTCTTTTCCAATGGTTGCAAATTTATATAGATTTGCTGGAAAAGTGTGGGACTTTTTGAACAAGGAATTTATTCAGTTTCCCCCCCCATTTTATTGTTGTTTTATTGTTTTATCCCACTCCTCCCCTCCCCTCCTCGTACATTCAATTTATATAGCAAACTACAGAAGTTAAATTTGAAATATCAATCTTAATTTTTCTACTTCACATCTTAGCACATTCTCTAAATAATTCCTAACTGGTTCCTACATCCTCTTAGTTATTGTAACCTTCTCAATTTTATCTATATTATTTCATTTGCAATTTGTTATTTTCCACATTTAACATATTAACTATAAACTTATAGCAATTAGTCAGTGTCCATTTATTTATTTATTGTTGTACACATGTCGGTTTGTCCCATATATAGATGGAACTATATGTCACAAAGTAAACCTTACTTCTCCAAGTTACGAATGTCTTATTACTAGTGCAAATGTAACTAAGATAGTGAAGGGCTAGCTGAGCTAACATTAGGGTTGGCTCCACATCAGCAAGATAATTTGTCCTTACTTCAATGCCGGTGTTGTTGGAACACACAGCATTCCTCCTTTTTAAAGGCAAGAGTTTCTTTTATACACGTTATGGTTTTAATGTGATTTTAAAAACCTACTTTTAAAACTCTGAATTTTCTAGAAAAGCCTGGCTTTTTTGCCCATCTATATTTTGTCCTGAATTAGGATCATGGTGAGATGTTTGGAGAGGGGGACAGGTTGGTGGGAGGTTACCAAGTTCAGCAAGCATGATCAGTGCTTACTGGGGAATGTATGTTTATGTTCAGTGATTTTTATGATCAACAATGAAGGGGTGGATCTTAGAATTATAGAATAATAGCATTGGAAGAGACCACATGGGCCATGTAGTCCAACCCCCTGCCATGCAGGCAAAGCACAATCAAAGTACCCCTGACAGATGGCCATCCACCCTCTGTTTAAAAGTCTCCAAGGAAGAGGCTTCCACTACACTCTGAGGCAGAGTGTTCCACTGCTGAACAGCTCTTACCTTGCTCTTTCCTCATTCTCCCACCATACCGCTCCCTCTGCCCTTCCTCCTATGTGGATGTGTTCAGGAAACATTTAAAGCTTTGGAACTCATTCATACTCACTGGGGCAAGAAGGGGACTGAATGGAGGCATCATCCAATGAAAGTGCAGAGTTAATTTAAGATTGACCATAAAATAAAAAATTAAAATCCCCAATTGGTTGGTAAATTTATGCATACCAAGAAGAGAAATAAATCAGCAGTCACTGCAAGTCATGTCTGGAAAAATCCAATGTAGTGAACAGATGAATATGATAGGACCCTTTGGTTTGTCCCAATGTTACTTCTGTTGGGGGAAATGTGTGGCTGTCAAATACATATTAAGTTCAGATTATAAGGGGTTTGTGCGATGCAAATAGGTGTAAAGCCAGGGTAGGATTAATTTGCTGGTGTGGATCTAGCCTAGGTCAGCTCAAGCTGCACTGAATGCAAGTTATTTCAAGCTTTAGGATATGAGCATCTGTACAGAATTACTCTCATCCTGGCCTAACTTTGTGTTGACATTGTGGCTGTGTTCCCAGACTGTAGGAAGGTTGAGTCTGATGTAATTCATCCCCTTTCTGTCCCCTTTTTAGATTCTTTGTCCACAGCGATTTGCCAGTACAGCAGTTCTGCCAGTGGACTGCAAAATCTGAAATCGTTCAGTAGAAATGGGGTCTGCTGGCAGAAGAGGATTTCTGGCAACAGAACAGGTTTATCCCTCATCCTAACCCTATACAGCTGGTTTGCCTTTGGGACTGCAATGTCTGTAGAAGAGCATCTTTTTTTCCAGGAAGCAAATATGTGAATTTAACAACTGTGGATCCATTATTAGTGGATCCAATATGTATGTGCATGCATGCATACACAATTTGGCAACAAGACCTCTCAATCTCAGAGTAGCCACCTGTGAGTCAAGCTATGCTTCCATGTGTTTTCCTCTTCTTTTTTCTTGTCTGTCTTTCCTAGCTTAACTGAATGTATTTCCCAATGTTCATTATCTGAGACCACCTTCTCCATAACCCAAGTCTATTTCTCAATTAGAAATTTCCCCATGCTCTACAGCTTTCCCAAAGGCCCTTTCACACAATGCAAATATATAATGCTATGGTTCTTGTGGGTTTTTTCGGGCTATAGCCATGTTCTAGAGGCATTTCTCCTGACGTTTCGCCTGCATCTATGGCAAGCATCCTCAGAGGTAGTGAGGTCTGTTGGAATTAGGACAATGGGTTTATATATCTGTGCAATGGCTGGGGTGGGGCAAAGAGCTCTTCTCTGCTGGAGCTAGGTGTGAATGTTTCAACTGACCACCTTCATTAGCATTTGAAGGCCTGCCTGCGCCTGGGAAAATCTTTTGTTGAGAGGTGTTAAGATGTGCCTGGTTGTTTCCTCTCTGCTGTTTTGCTGTTGTAATTTTAGAGTTTTTTAATACTGGTAGCCAGATTTTGTTCATTTTCATGGTCTTCTCCTTTCTGTTGAAATTGTCCACATGCTTGTGGATTTCAATGGCTTCTCTGTGTAGTCTGACATGGTGGTTGTTGGTGTGGTCCAGCATTTCTGTGTTCTCAAATAATATGCTGTGTCCAGGCTGGTTCATCAGGTGCTCTGCTATGGCTGACTTCTCTGGTTGAAGTAGTCTGCAGTGCCTTTCATGTTCCTTGATGCGTGTCTGGGCAATGCTGCTGCGTTTGGTGGTCCCTATGTAGACTTGTCCACAGCTGCATGGTATACGGTAGACTCCTGCAGAGGTGAGAGGATCCCTCTTGTCCTTTGCTGAATGTAGCATTTGTTGGATTTTCTTGGTGGGTTTGTAGATTGTTTGTATGTTGTGTTTCCTCATCAATTTTCCTATGCGGTCAGTGGTTCCCTTGATGTATGGCAGGAACACTTTTCCTCTGGGTGGATCTTCATCTTTACTCTCGTGGCTTGTTCTTGGTCTTGCAGCTCTTCTGATGTCTGAGGTGGAGTATCCATTGGCCTGGAGAGCCCAGTTGAGGTGGTTCAGTTCATCTTGGAGGAGGTGGGGTTCGCAGATTCTTTTTGCACGGTCTGCCAAGGCTTTAATGGTGCTTCTTTTTTGACTTGGGTGATGGTTGGAGTTTTTATGTAGATATCTATCTGTGTGTGTGGGTTTTCTGTAGACGGTGTGACCCAATTGTTGATCTGGTTTGCGGATGACTAGGACATCTAGAAAAGGCAGTCTTCCTTCATTTTCTTTTTCCATGGTGAACTGGATGTTTGGGTGGATGCTGTTAAGATGGTCCAGGAACCTGTTGAGTTCTTCTTCTCCATGGCTCCAAATGGTGAAAGTGTCACCGACATATCTGAACCATATAGTGGGCTTTTTTGTTGCTGTTTCCAGGGCTTGTTATTCAAAGTGTTCCATGTAGAAGTAATGCTATGATTCCACTTAAATTGCCATGGTTCCATCTTACAGAATCCTTCGATTTGCAGTTTAGAAGAATTCTTAGACAGGGATCTCTAGTGCCTTAAGGTAAAGGCAAATGTTTTCCTTTGACATTAAGTCTAGTCGTGTCGGACTCTGGGGGGGGGCTCATCTCCATTTCTAAGCCAAAGAGCGGCATTGTCTGTAGACACCTCCAAGGTCATGTGGCCGCCATGACTGCATGAAACATCGTTACCTTCCTGCCAAAGCAGACCCTATTGATCTACTCACTTTTGCATGTTTTTGAACTGCTAGGTTGCCAGAAGCTGGGGCTAACAGCAGGAGCTCACCCTGCTCCCTGGATTCGAACTGCTGATCTTTTGGTCAGCAAGTTCAGCAGCTCAGCAGTTTAACCCACTGCACCACCAGGGGCTCCAATGATTAAAAATCACGCCAACCATACCATGGATGACCCATGTGATCTCTTCCAACTCTATTATTCTATGATTATATAGCTGGACCATGCAGTGGAGGCTGATGGCTCCTGCATCAGTGAGGCAAGGAATCCATTCTGTTTTTTTTAATCTGAACTTTAAAGAGGTAGCCAAAGCTTTGAACCCTCCTCCTGAAAGATCCAACACATTGAATAGTCTCTTTAAAGTTTGGTCTTACAAAACTATAAACCCCAGATAGTCCTGACAATTAAAATTGAGTATAGCACTATAATTATATAGTGTGAAAGAACCTCAACACTGTTGTAGCAGCTTGATATCATTTTAATGCCAGTTTCGTAATTGGCGAAGCTCTTAGAGTTCCTATTCTCTGTCTAGCAGAGAATTCTAGGTTTCCCAACAAAACACAAATCCCAGGATTGTAAATAACAAAACCCGGACAATTACAAAGAGACACTGGGCTGTTCTAACAGTGTAATATGAACACATTCTGAGCCTTCTCATCCTGACTGCTGTATTGGAAAGATTTTTCTGTAGATGGCTGAGTGAGTCATTTGAAACCTCTTGAAGGTCAGCTGACCAATTTGCTACATCGCATGATACTCCAGCAGGTTTGCTCCTCACATGATTGTCTCATCATTTAGTTCTTCATAAAAGAGACATGTGTGCAAAGTCCTTTACTTTCAAGCACTGACGAGTGACAGAAAGATCACCTCAAATAGCAGCATAAGGACCATTACCACTTTCCCCTCCTCTTCTCACAATGAGAAAGAACAATCTACAGTAAACTAAAAATAAAATTGATTGATGCAGAAGAGAGCCTTATATCACAAGGCTGCAATAAATCCCCACAGGAATCATTACAAGCTTCACAGACTTCATCTAAAGAGCAACAGTGGCTTTTCACGCTGGCATTTGCAAATGTAAGCATGTATGTAAAAAAGAAAACAAAATCCCTAAACATTCCTTTAAAGCTGTGAATTGACTACTGCTAATGCAGTCTTAAATTCTTAGTGTCATCATACTGGTACTTTAAAAAAATTACAAAACCAGTTTGACCACAGGTGACAATGGGGCTAAGAAATGAGTAAGAACACTGTGGGTAATGATATGCAAATAGATCTTGTGGCACCTTACAGACCAACTAAGGGTGCATATACATAGTAGAATTAATGCAGTTTTACACCACTTTAACTATGTCTCAATGACAGGATCATGGGGGTTATAATTTTACAAGATCTTTTCAGCTTCTCTGCCAAATAATGCTGGTGTGTCTCACCAAACTACAAATGCCATGATCTCACAGCATTGAACCATGGCAGTTAAAGTGCTATCGTGGCAGTTAAAGTGCATTAATTCTACGGTGTAGAATTTGTATTGTTTTATTGATTTTATTGATTTTATTGGTATAATGCTTGAACTAGTATGAATTGTGAATTGATGTAATTTTTGTGTCTTGATTGTTCTGTGCTGCAGGCATCAAATTGTGCCTTTGCTTCTGTAAGCCGCCCTGAGTCCCCTTCGGGGTGAGAAGGGCGGGGTAAAAGAACCCCAAATAATAATAATAATAAATATCCCAAGAGAACAAAGTTGGTAGCATAAACTACCAAAGATTGAGTTTACATCGGTAAGAAAACAGAGATTCACCTTGAATCCACTGCTGGCTGGTGTTCACTTATTTTTGGTGAGTACTGTGGGGGCTTTAGGTCTAAAACAACTTTGCCCCACTTTGGGCAAAGTTAGGAAATATTCCACAGCTTGCTGGAAATGTTGAGTATCCTAGAACTGCGTAACAGTATGGACAGGGCTGTCTTTAGCACAGCAGGTTAATCACCAGCTGCAGCTGCAATAAACCTTGCCAACCGAAAGGTTGACAGTTTGAAGCCAGGTGAGCTCCTGACCTTCAGCTCAGCTCCCCCACTCACCTAGCAGATCGAAAACAGTGTGAGTAGATAAATTAGGAACCACATTAAGCAGGGAGGTACTTTAGACACAGCGTTTCATTCAGAAAAAGGAAGAAAGTTTACGAACAAAGAAGGCTCTTTGGCAAGGAGATGGAGCGATAGCACCCCCCTATGTCCAGAACTGAGCACTGCCTCCAAAGATGCCAGAAGATGGGAAAATAGCTAATACTGTTGGTTGTCTTATCATTGTATAATCAGCACTGAATGTTTGCTGTATATGTGCTCTGTGATCTGTCCTGAGTCCCCTTTGGGGTGAGAAGTGTGGAACATAAATACTATAAATAAGGTTTGATTTGGCCTGATCCCCTGTCCAATTTAGATTTGCCCTAAGTCTATTTCACCAGAAGCCTTTCATAGTATACATAATTGAGTTATTCTGTTAGATCTTATGATACCAACTTCATGCTCCTAATTAGTCTCTAAGGTGCTACAAGATCCTTCTGAATACTGATATTCAAGACTAACACAGCTATGTCTTTGAATGGGTGATGTTTCTGTTGTATTGCCTTTTAATCTCAGGAATAATCGTCTGTCTCTGGTGTAACTTAGCTGCACAAAATGTGGCTGGTAGGTGTTCCGGCACTACTGTTCAAGGGAGAGGAAGAGGTAGAGGAAGGAGAGATCATTTGCTTACCACTCCTATGGAAAAATAGTTGTTGATGATGCTTAATGGGACAGGGTCTCCATTTTCCTCTTTGTCATTGGGGATGACATCAATTTGCCATCGGTCTAGCATGACCTCGGTGCTATGTTCAATATCCTTCAGAACTTTCATTAAGTTGCCCCCTTCATAACCTTGGAAATAGAAAAAGAGATTTCATGTAATGATTAATTAATTTTCACTGGTAGAACTGTGAAAGATTAGTAGGGTAAAAGTGTTTCTAAAGGCTGCCCTAAATAATAGATGTTGCAGTGATATGCAAATGAAAAACATAATATGTTTTTAAAATTAAATGAAATTGTGGTTGACAAAAAATAAGGTGTTGAAATAATTTTCTAAATGTTTTAAATGAATGTTGACCTTTGTAAGTCAAATTTCAGCATTGGAAGAAACAGTTGGGTGAGTTGGGCGAGTGGGCTTATTAACTAAAGACCCTCCCCATAAATGTACAGCAGAGTAACTTATTAGCAGCAGTGTGACCCAGGACCAGTAGCCCAAAGTGATAAAAAGAACAAAAACACGCAGGCCAATGTTCTCTCTTTCATAGGAGGCTTTTCTTTGTAGTAAAATAATATAGTTGCACTATTTACAATAACAAAGTTTCCAAAACACAAATAAAGTCCTCTATACTTCCTTCTTTGCTTCCATGCTGGGCTTCTTCCTCATGCAGATAAACAGCTTCACTTTCACAGAGCCTCCTCTCACAACAAACTTATACTGGAGCATCACACAGTAGTTTTTTACACCCAGCAGCCTTTATACTAGAGCTTTTTTACACCCAGCAGCCCAGAGCTTTACACATGAGGCCTTCAACCTGGGGCTCCCTCTCACCAAATCTTTTCACACCAAGCCTTCTCATAATCTGAGGACTTCTTACAGACTAAAACCTACCTCACTCAGAGGCTTCTCTCACAAACTAAGGCCTCCATCACACTGTGAGGCCTTCTCACAGAGTGAGACTTTTCTCCCACTGAGGTTTACCTCAGACCGACAGCTACTAAACTACAGGCACACCTGCTTATATAGAACTGCAGCTTTTGCTGAGTCACTGCATCCATTTAACCCTTTCAGTGCTTGACTCACATTTTTGTAATTAAAATAACTAGTTAATTTTAAAATTTCTGAGAGAAACATGGGATATAAATGAATTATGATTAGTACTACTAACGTTTCACTTGATCCCACATTCAATGTGGGATTGGATAACTCCTGTGGTGTCATCCAACTCTATGTTTCTATGATTCCATGATTTCTATAATTAGAGTGTTATATTAGGATTTGGGAGATCAATGATTCAAGTCCCTGTTCAGCCATTAAACTTCCAGGGTGACCTTGAACCAGACCTTCTCTCTCAGCCTGGCCAACCTTACAGGATTGTCAGGATTGTTGCAATGATACAGTGGTAAAGAGGAGAGACTTTCCTGCCCTCTCAAGTTTATAACTAAATAAATGCTTATTAAAAATGAACCCACCTGAAATTCTCAGCTAGTGCAGTGTAAGATGCTTGGGGATGTAGTTGGAAAACACCGTATGTTTATGGGAGATATTATGTTTTAAAAATATGTATTTTGAAACAGCACATTTTGCAGTAGTAGCCAATCAAGAAGTGTAAGTGATGGAGAGTCTCTTTAGTGGTGCAGCACATGGACAATGTCAAATGAAATTTGAAGCACCTGACAGGTTTCAAAGGCACATTGGGCTGCTGGCAGGAGGGATCACTAGCAAGTCCTGGTGTGAGGTCATGGTTGAATGACCCAGTAGTGGCAGCATGATTTCAGAGACTTACCTCCTCCCCATCGTAGACAGCGGGCAAGGTCATTGCCTGTCCCCAGGGGCAGAATAGCTACAGGAGGGTGCTTGGCTAAGTTTAGCTTATCTGGGGAGGGGGAAAAGAAAAAATGGGGAGAGGGAGAGAAGAGAGAGAGAGAGAGAGAGAAGGGGGGGGGGGTGTTAAAATCCAGATCACTAGATATGTTTTCCTCCTGTTACAGCACCTGCTTCAGGATTGCTAAGAAAGATAGTAAAAGTTCAACAGTATTAGCAAAGTCTGAATTACAGCTCACTGTAAATATATTTTTGAGGGCATGCTGGTTGGGGGTGGGGGGAAGCAAACAGTGTAGTGATGTACACAAAAACAAACCATTCAGAGAATTGCATATTAACCTGAAACAACCCAGGACCACATTAATCTCAGAGTTTCAGACAAAAAATCAAGCAGATGAATCATAGAATCATAGAATCAAAGAGTTGGAAGAGACCTCATGGGCCATCCAGTCCAACCCCCTGCCAAGAAGCAGGAATATTGCATTCAAATCACCCCTGACAGATGTCCATCCAGCCTCTGTTTAAAAGCTTCCAAAGAAGGAGCCTCCACCACACTCCGGGGCAGAGAGTTCCACTGCTGAACGGCTCTCACAGTCAGGAAGTTCTTCCTAATGTTCAGATGGAATCTCCTCTCACATACAAATGTTTCAAGACACATACAAATGTTTCAAGACAGTGCTCTCGCACTGAGATTCTTCTACTTTATCCTAGCAAAGAGACCCTAGCCCCAGAGATTGATGGCAAGCAGTGCTGGATTTACCACTGTGCTTAGGTGTGCTTAAGCACAGGGCCCTGTCGGCCAAGGAGTCCCATCTTCTTGCTAAACAAACAAAAAATTACAATGGGTTTTGCTTATGTGGTGCAATTCTAAATTTGATGGCATTCTGTTTCAGAGCAATTCCAAACATAATGATAGAGTTGATAGTCTATGGGAGTGTGGCACAAAGGAGGTAGTGTAGGCCTACTAGATTCACCTCCTTCAGGGCCCAAGTCAGGGGCCTCATACTTTAACTAGCACAGGGCCTCATCGATCCTAAATCTGGCATGGATGGCAAGTTTCTTGAGATCTGGGAATCCCGCCTGACCATTGCTAGGCTGCTATGAGCCATTGGCTGAGGCTTGTTTTAGTTTTGAATTGGCAGAGCATCTACCTCAGCTTTGAACACTAAATGATAACAATGGTGAAGATAATAATAGAACTGCAAGACATGTTATGTAAGGCTTTTAACATTATTTAATGGGTATCATTTTCCTGAGACTTAATTTACCTATGCTGTCCAGGATCCACCCAACAGTTCCATCCCCTCCACAAGCCAGAATACGGAAGTCTGGGGCATCACGGAAAAAGTTTAACCTGAGAAAAATGGAAAATTGCCAGTTAGAACTACTTCATTTTCACAAATAAAGAAGGTCAAAACACCACAAAAAGTGAATGTCAAAGGAAGGTATATTAGCACTGCAATTCTTGTAAATCTTCATGATACAACATTTGCCTATTCCAGCGAGGGTTAGTAGTTTTCATGTTATTAGAGTAGGATGAATCCACTTCAGGTTTTAGTCTGATGTAAAGGGAGCTATCCAGAGTGCTAGACTCTCAAATAGGTAAAGCATGATGGGTGGATCCTTTACAGTTCAGACAAAAACTCAAAATGGATTCATTGACCACCTGGTTAAGTCTCAAATTGACAGTACAATGATCAAGGAGAGAGTAATATTTATTGAATAGGAAAGCTATGCAAGACCTATACTTTCCATAAAGGAATGTATTTTAAATCCAGCTGAAGTTAAGGCAATGGGTCTTGACCAGCAATAATCTTTGATGAGATGATTCATTTGTATTATTGTGGCATAGCTATGCCTCTCTGTGGTTCTACAGATTGGATGTGGGACGTGTGGTTCTCCAAGTGTTGCTGGACTGCAACTTCCAACATCCTCCACAATTTGGTGTGTTAGTGAGACTGATAGGAGCTTCAATTCAATGACATTTGGAGGGCCAGATGTTCCTTATCCTGATCTATCAAGGCCTAGAACCCAACTTTGACCTCAATACAATAGGCACAGTAATGATCACATGTATATGTGTTTGTAAAGACCTTTCAGAAAGCTGAGTACTTCATCCTAAGCCGTATTAATAGGCTCTCTTTATAGAGGGAAGTGAAATGAAAAATGGGAGAGAGAAGGCATAGAAGGAAGAAAACAAGAGAGAGATAGCAAAGAGTAAATGCAAATAATAATAATAATAATAATAATAATAATAATAATAATAATACCTTTTATTTATAACTCGCTACCATCTCCCCAAAGGGGATTCGGGCAGCTAACATGAGGCCAAGCCCAAAATAATACAACATAATAAACAGACAATAACAAAATATTGTCAAAGGCTTTCATGACCGGAATCACTGTGTTGTTGTAGGTTTTTTCGGGCTATATGGCCATGGTCTAGAGGCATTTTTCATCCTCACTACCTCTGAGGATGCTTGCCATAGATGCAGGTGAAACATCAGGAGAAAACGCCTCTAGACCACGGCCATATAGCCCGAAAACCTCACTACCTCTGAGGATGCTTGCCATAGATGCAGGCGAAACATCAGGAGAAAATGCCTCTAGACCATGGCCATATAGCCGGAAAAAACCTACAACAACCCAATAACAAAATACATCATAACAAAATATGAAATAACAAATAAAATCAACAATATAAAACAGCATAGTAAAAAAATGATAGAATTACGGCAACAGGGAAGAGATGGGGAACACAGAAAGGATATAGCATGGGTAAAACATGTAGGTCCAATAAATGATTTGCAATACCCAGGAATAGGTCCCCCTCGGTCCAAATTGTAAACTTGTCTGGGGTTGAGTAGGTAATGGAATTTCCGATGGACCCTAAAATGAGTAAAAATAAACAGATAAGCAGTCATAATATAGTGGACAAAGGAGAGACAAGACAGATGATTACGCAATCTTATGATCAGTAATTCCCTCCTCCAACTCCACTTTGAAGAGTTTTGTGAGCACAAGAGTAACAACTACTGATTTTATTTCCGCCACACAACTTGTAAATGTGAGTGAATGTGACAGACTTTTCATTAGTGCTTTGAATGCACTAACAGTAATGTGGAAGTACCCTACAGCATATACAGATCAGTTATGATCAGAGACCAAAAAAACACATAGTTTAATCCTATGTATTAGACAATATTATCCCAAATATGGGGAAGAAAAAAAACCCCAATGCTTTAACTGGGTTAGGACAGTGCCATACCGGGAAGAGAGATTTCTATCCCTCCTATGGTTGCAGTATTCAATCAAATGACACTGATATTATTCTATTTTACCACCATGGCTGCATTCTATGGGATCCTGGGTTTTGTAGTTTAGAGAGGAGCATTTATAACTCAAATCCAAGAAGCTCTTGGACCTCAATAAACTACAAATTTCAGAATTTCATAAACTTTTTCCATAGCAGAACGTGGAAAAATATGAGCTATAATAGCAAAGCTTGATAGGACCACCAGTCAAAACTGCATGCTATTTCAAAAACAAATATCCTTCACAATGGGAGAAAAGCTTCTCTTAGTGCGAATAAGAGATTTTTTCCCATTGGGAATGGCAGGTGCATGGCAATATAAAGAAAGGAAAGAAGTGCTGACAATATAAAGAAATGGTTGAAATGAGAGTTTCCAAACTATACTGATGTACAGTAAAAAGAACATGGAATACAATCAATTGTATAAAACTTTTGAATTAAAATGCTTTTTGTCTAACAAAACTATTTGTCAGAAATGTACATGACAAAAGTCTTCCCCACGTATTAGCGTCATCCCTGAGTCAACCATCTGCTCTGTAGGACCAATTATCTTATCTAATTTGGCCTTCGAGATACTTTCAGATGGTTGCTTACAAACTTCCATAGTTTTCTCTTATGCAAAGTTCTCTCTTGCAAATCTATTCCTTAAGTTAGGCATGGGCAAACTTCGGCCCTCCAGGTGTTTTGGACTTCAACTCTTACAATTCCTAACAGCCTTCCCATTGTGAAGGATAATGCACAGGAACCACCTAAAATATGAACGTGTGCTCACACAAAATATGAGGCCGTTGAAAGGAAGAGGGAGCATGGTTGCTGAAACAGCTGTATATTTAAATTTCTCTTTAGTTTAATTGTTGAAATATATCCCACTGATTATACCAATATCAGGGGAGTTTAGAGCAGAGAAGGGGAGAGACACTTAGCCTTTTAAAAGGTAGGAACTGGGAAACACTAAAACGGAGAGACTTAAAAATGCTTCTTCAAATGAATTCCACTGCCACCATTCCAGTATTTATCAGGCTGAGATAATATTGTGAGTTTGTTCTGTAACACACACTGTGCCACTATAGTTTCTTAGCGGCTGCTGTGAAGCTGACTTTAGAAATACTTTGACCACCAAGGTACACACACTGAGGCTGGTATAAGTTAATTAAAGAACAAGAATGTTTATTGAATAAGCTTGAAATAATTCAGGTACAAATGCTTAATGGTTTCAGAAAATACTGGCTTGAAAAGGTTGTGGTTGCATTAGAGTAAAATCTTAAACTCTTCTGGGTTACAAGTCTTCAAAGTTCCACCACAGAAAATTACTTCAGGAATTAATCTCTGAAAGTAATTCCCAAAACTGCCCCTTAGGAATCTAGCCAAAAATACCCTGAACTAGACTTTCCTAGGAATTGAACAGTCCATGAACTGGCACTACTCCCCAACAGTATGCTAGCTATCTACTCAAGCCTCTGTTTTAAAAGGACACTTTTTTCCTATAGACCACTTAGGCTCCGCCCCCACCTTTCTAGCCAATCCTAGCCTCCTTATTTTCCTTCTAAGACTTGCCCCCTCAAGAAAAAGTAACTAAAATGGCTTCCACCCGACTCCCTTTTCTAAAATGGATGCCGTGGCTTCGCTAGGCTCACTCCCTTAGGCTTCAGCCAACTAGCTAAGGTAAGGGATTCATTACACCAGCCTTAGGTGTTTTCATTTGTAGATCTCCTTACAAGCCAAAGGACTGGTGGCACACTGGTCAATAAGCACTGGTGACATTTTCAATTGTACTTGCAGCTGCAATTAACATGCTATCTGTTGTAAACATTGCATCTTGCAAATAACATAATATTACATTTGGAATATAGGGAAAATCTGACTTGTCTGTGATGAAAGCATTTATCCCAGGGAAAAATATGTGGATTACTTACAACCATTACCTGAGGTGAATGTAGTGAATTAAGACTTGTCTCTTGTGCACTTTCTAATCTGTCTATAGAAAGTATGAGAAACCTACCTTTCTCCTTGCCTCCCTCCGCTTTTGGGGTTCACAAACACCAACAGTGGATGTGTTCCAGGGTTAGGAGTGATCTGAAAAGCAAGCTCCAAATTAAACAAGGAGACTTCTTGTACAGCGTACAAAACATCATTCATGCAGCATGAGAGAGAATGAGTCATGCGGAGACAGAGGAAGCAAGTCAGGCAATTGGCAAAATGTTGGCCAGGACTGTGGAGAACTTGGGAGCCATTAATCTCTGTACCTATCTCCATCCACGTGGATGATGTCGATTGTCATGCAGCATATAGATCACTGTATTTGACATTGCATAATAGAAAGTTGGTTTGACTAGAGCAGAGTTGGTTAAGTTTACTTTTTTGGTCTACATTCCAGTGCTTGTTAGGGGGATCTGGGAGTTTGAGTCTAAGAAATTATTTTCTAGTCTCTGGCCAAGTGTGTGTGTGTGTGTGTGTGTCTGTCTGTCTGTCTGTCTGTCTGTCTGTCTATCTGTCTGTCTATCTATCTATCTATCTATCTATCTTTCAACATTAGCTCCAGACAATGATGCTCCTCAAGGTGGCTTGCCTTCCTCAAAATTTAAGGAGCATAGTTTCCAAAGCCAACAGAGCTAGCACATAAGGCAAAAAATCCCACATGCGCCTTTCTTCTCTAACAGTATAAATATAACCATGCATTAAATAACTAAGAACATCCTGCCGCTTCATGATAAGTCTGATGCCAGACATTACTGAGACAAGAAGTGGTCCTTAGGTATTGTTGATGTTGTTGTGTGCCTTCAAGTCATTTTCAACTTATGGGAGCCCTAAGACAAACTTACAGCCATCTTTTTTTCCAAAAAGGAAAAGAGAAACAAAGATGCTGGGAACTTTAGGATCATGTAATCTAGTTTTTACATGCATAATTCACTGGTGAAAGTATACCTCAAAATGTATCATCACACGGAGGTCCTTGATGTGGGGGAATTCATAGGACAGCAGGGCGAATTCATCACTCAGTGCTCCACATCACCTGCATCACCCACTTGACCATTACATGCTGGAAAGCATATCTTTCTGGCTTGCTCCCGTGCTGTCTACAGCATTTACAATCTGAGCACAGGTAGTCTTCCGTTGTCAGAGTTCCCTATCCTAGAACAATTTGCTGAGACAACCAGCACGGAGCCACGTCAGAAATAGCTGTGTGTCATGTGATGGGATCCAGTGGGCTCTGTGCTGGCTGCTTTGGCAAACTGTTCTAGACAGGAAAACAAAGGCAATGTGATGAGGTCCTAAGAGGAGTATAAAGATTGCACAGACATTGATTTTCTTCCTTATATGTCTTTTTTGAGAACTGTTGGTGATTTAGCCAAGATGAAGGGACTGTCTTCTCTCATAAGGAATCAAGCTTGTACATGCATAAAAAGCAAATGTCAGTGACCTCCCTACCTGCAATCCATGTCCATCCACTGTGGTGGTGTTGTACCTGAACGTCATGTTTGCATCATCTGGAGTAGTGCTGGAGGGTGATTCACTGTCTGATCTTCTTGGGTGGGATTGCCTATCCTTTGGAAGAGGGCGGAGATGCATAAAGACTTGGAAGTATGGATGAAAGCCAGCAAATAACAAGAAAGTACCGACAACATAAACAAAGGGTGGAAATGAGAGTTTCCTAACTGGACTGATGTACAGTACAAAGAACATGGAATACCAAGAATTAATTATCTATAAAACTTCTAAATTAAAATGCTATCTGTCAAACAACACAGAATACAGTGATATTATATAAACAACCATCAGTAATACATTTCATAAACTGCAAACAATCTTTGTTAATGCAGCAGTCTTGCAGTGAATAGTACTGATATTTTGAATCAATTACTCTAAAAGGGGCTTAAAGTTGTGTACATAATGGTTGCTCCAATACTTGACTTGCTTCCTGGGTTGATGCTGTTCCAAAATTTACGTTAACTCCACAGTTCCAATCTCCACAGCTGAAAAAACTCTGAGAGGCCCACATGTTTCTACTTGCTTTGAAAAAAAAAGTAATTTCTTAATCATGGCTTTAAAAAGGAACACACATCTATGCAGCATTTGTGACATTTAAAGGGTTGTCACACAGCACTTCCTCTCAGCCATAGCCCTTTCTGGCCTATAGTTCAGAGACAATACACTTATTTTATTAGAATCTGAATTATACATTTAAAAAACGATATGAGTTAGAAGGTACAGAATTGTATTTACCTTCTCAAAGAAATCTGAGAAGTCACTCTAGAACAGGAGGAAAAGTGTACACAAAGACTACATCATATGTACTTCGCACAGAATCCTTCTTTTGAATCATCCTACTTTTAGAAAATGTAATTCCCAACATTAAAGTTGGAATACAAATGGTTATTTGTTTGGAATGACTGCAGCGATTTCCTCTTTATAGTTGGTCCCACTCAAATATGGATAATTTGCTAACTATTTAAGTGCTATGACCGAGTCAGGAGGTATGGTGGTGGGATGCGAAACTGACCAGTACCAATTTGCAAATAGTTTTCCCATCCAGTCATTTTAGTCCAGTTCTTCTTAAGCTGTCTAGTGAGAAAGTCCTGCATTTTCCCCCAATGTACCAGGAACCACTCCCATATTTGTATCAATTAACTGCAACTGTTGCTTTCCTGGAACCAACAACTGATGGCTTATGCACAAGCACTGGACCGTCGACCACCACTTAAAAGTAGCACTGATTTAGTCACTCCTAGTTACCTCTGGACAAAAAATGGCCCCTCATGGACCTAAAACAGTCAGAGTGGGTGCAAAAACATGAAGAAAATTGATTCTCTGTCCTATCGATGATATAGGTGCCATTTTGAATAAAATATTCGGTGGACAGGGGCCTCATACATAAATGGGAGAAGGGAATTCATGCTGTCTGTCTGCAAATTCCCCACCCCTAATCCTGGACAGTCTTGGTTTTAAGTTTACAAAGCTGAGCTTGCACAAGGTCCAGCTTCTAGATTCCAGCTCCTATGCTAACTTGGAGATTTTGATGTTGTACAAAAACCCATCCACTCACCATAAAAACCTCCCTATGGAGAGTTAAAAACCATAGTATATGAGCCTTGATAAGTAATAAAGTATATATTAGCCATTCAGGGTATTTCAAAGTTCTAAGTAGACTCATTTACCAGAACTACTGGACAAATGTTGGAAGGCAGTAAGATGTGGTCCTTCAACTGCCCACCATCACAGTCAGGCTTCACATGAGAGGCACATTTGTTGTGAAGCTGCAAAGCAGAGAAAGAAAAGGGTTGTCATTTTCTCCTCTTCACAATATTCATACCATTCTCTTCACCTTGTTAAGAATTTATGAGCTACTTCTCTACTATTGCCAGGGGAAATCACACTATCTTTCTGAAACTACAGTATTTGATATGACAAAGAAGTTTGTTGTTCTTTAGTCAGCATTGGGTCTCCCCTCCTACAGAAAAGCAAGCAAAATTAGATCCATCTTATTATAACCCAAAGGGAAGTGCATAGAGAGATTCCCAGAAACAGTGATACTAGTAGATCCTAAGGCAGTGATGTGGTGGATCTCCTTGGGTTTAGTTCATTTAAATTCTTCCTTTCCTCTGGAGAATTCAAAATGGTATATGGTCAGACCTCCACATGTCTGGTTTTTATTTCTGTAGATTTGATTATTCATAAATTTAATTAATTTGGTGTCTAGGAATCTCTGGGTTCTCCAGTATTACTCTGTGGTCAACTTCTGCTGAAAGCTGACTTCAGAGTTTTCTGGAGGACCTAGAGAGAATATCTCTAGTTTGTCTCTAAGGTAAACTTGTAGTGGAAGATGATCACCGAATCACAGTGTAGGACTACACCACCATTGGTGACCCCTCTGCTCTTTCTGGTTTCCCCTATTTCCTCTGATTTGAACTTGTGCTGAAACAATGCACTGTTATGTTTCACAATCCAAATTAATCCAAAGTAATGCAAAATGTCTGTTATTTAGGGGGGCAAACACAATTAAATTTATAAAAGACATGCTCATGAGGGAAATGAAAATGGAAACTATTTTTTTTAAATATTGATCAACACAGGTTGCATCTATACTGTAGAATTAATGGCCCAATGCTATGGAATTCTATGAGTTGTAGTTTGGTGAGGCAGCAGAATTCTTTGACAGGCAAGATTACTGACCTTGTAAAACCACAACTCCCATGATTCCACAGCATTCAGCCATGGCAGTTAAACTGCATTAATTCTACAGTATAGATGCACCCACAACCACCGGGATTTTGAACTCTATTTGTGTGTCACTTTAAGGACTGTAATGATGAGGGCTTGCCCTTCTAAATGTATAACTGCATCACTCTCCTTGATCAATCAAGGAACAAAGTAGAGCTATATTCCATAGCTTACTAGCACACTCTATATTGTGGACAGGTTCATGCTCAAGAGAGGAAACAAGAAATGGGACATATATGGTCCAGCAACATCCAGATGGAAAAGTAGATGATGAGGAAGAAGATATAAGCAAGGAGAGTATGTGGCAATCTACTTTTGTTAGATTCTACTGGGAAGAACAAGATGCTCTCCCTGTCCTTTACTCTCTGCTAAGTTAATGGAGTGCAAATTTTCCCTTCTGGATTAAGTTGTTAGAAGCTGAAATGAAGACAAAAAGTGGGACGAGGAGATTTTAAAAGCAGCTGAAAAGGTGGGAAGACAGAAGATTACATGCGACTGTCCAAATGAGGATTATTGTCAACTATGGAAGATCCATTCCCTTGTATTATGCACAGAAGTACCTTCACAGATGAGTAACTCATATAGCTTTGATTAAAAAAACCCCACACACTCTTCGTGGACTCACTGTGATTTGGCACCATACGCAATGCAGTCCGGTAATGCCCTGATAGCATTTGATGCTTTTATGACATCGATCGCACTTGGCTAGGGAGTTCCCTTCAATCCATGTGTGCTGCATAACCTAGAAATGAATGAGGCAAGGTGATCCATGCTGGAAGAGAAATCAGGGCACGAAATACTACTGTGAGATATAAAAGAGAAGGAAAAAATAACCCTGACCATTCATCCAAAGTAATTCTTTAAAACATTCCAAGATGGTCTTGAAAACCTGGGATAAATGGCAGATGGGGGAAATCTAAAGATGTGCTTGTGATATAATGTAGTTGCTTTGATATCAGGAAGTAGTTTTGCCGGTGTCCTGGTATAAACAGGTGTAATTGTATTGCTGCTTTTTTGAACCTTCCAGCTAACACAGTTGGCTACTTCTGATCAAACAGGCCTTTAGTCTAGGTGCAACTGGATTCTCTAACTCACCCAATGATTCTCATACTTTAAAAGGCCATTTTAAGAAACTAGAAGTAACTTTCCAACCTAAAATGGGGGGGGGAGAGGAAATATATTTAAAACGCAAAGATGTACCATCGTTTGAAGGAACTCCTTTCGATGGTGCAAAAGGTCAGATTCCTCCTTTGATTGGGATACTGCACTAGAAGCATGTCAATTTTCCATCAACATTTGCAATGATGATAGTACTATAATGACACCAATAACATGGCCTTGAGTAGAGAGAAGGTGTTCTGTGTGCCAACACTCATAGTTATCTTTCATAAATGCTCCACTTACATTTGTATTTCTCTTGGATTTCACATAAGTGCTGATGCAGGGGGGGATTTCTTTAGCGACACATCTTTCATGGACTGTATATTTACAAACTGTAGAGTAGAAACAGAGATAAAGGACATCTCTACATCTATCTCATGACAGAAATAAGACATATCTACATCCATCCCACACTCAATTTTCAGTCTACTCTGCAAGACTTGTCATCCAAACCTGTTTGAAATGGGATATAAAATTTAAAATATATTTCCCAAACATATCATGTACTGAGTCGCTGTGAGTTTTCCGGGCTGTATAGCTGTATGTTCCCAAAGCATTCTCTTCTGACATTTCACCTGCATCGATGGCAGGCATCCTCAGAGGTTGCAAGGTTTGTTGGAAACTTGGCAAGTGAGGTTAACATAACGGTGAAATGTCCAGGGTGGGAGAAATAACTCTTCTCTGTTTGAGGCAGGTGTGAATGTTGCAACTGGCCATCTTGATTAGCATTTAATGGCCTTGCACCTTCAACATCTGGCTGCTTACTGCTTGGGGGAACATGGTCATAAAGCCCAGAAAACTCACGGCAAACCGGTGATTCCGGCCATGAAAGCCTTCAACATTACATACGTATCATGTACTGTTTTTACCCTGTAATTTTAATCTGTTTCTTGTTGAATTCAGCCAATGGAGTCACAGCCTACAAACATGAAATGAGTCTGAAGAAGTAAAGATACATGGAGGAAGCATACTGTTTTCACTTCAAATAAAATATAATATTACTAACAATCAGAGATTCTTGGAGAGCTGGCACTACATTGTGTACTATATTGTAATCAACTTCAATTATATTCCATTATTATCCACAAAAGCAAGGATGGGAGAACATCTTTCAGCATAAGGGCTGAAAGCAATTTCAGAAAAGTTCCTTGTGTCCCATACCTCATACTCTCCAGCACTTTACAGATGAATATTGGGACACGTGTGGACATTGGACAAGTAACAACAGAATGTGGTTAAAATGGCAGAATTCATTATAGTCAGGAAGAATAGACAAGTTAGGAGAGTCTGTAGCAGTTTGTTTTGCCAGAACCTACTGGGAAGGGCAAGACTCTCCTCTCCCTCTTGTTGAATTAATGGAGTGCAAGCTATTTTTGTATGTTGACTTCTGTCTGCAGTAACTGAGGTAATCTGAGGACAAAAGGACAAAGTGGAAGGAAGCTGTAAAAGTGGGATGGCAAAGGATTAATTGGGAACATCCCACCAAATTGTAACAATTGAAGGGTATGCTTCTGGGACACTATTAGTGTTAAAAATGTCTCTCCTTGGTCCAAAATAAACCAAGTGGAAACAAATGTTGAAAAAAATAAATGCTTCCTATCAGTGGGAACCAAGGTTTCTCTAGATTGGGGTGAGAAACATGTGGTCCTCCAGGTGTTTTCTGGATTGGTAATCCCACCCAATGCAATAGTGAGAAAGTTTAGAACTTGCAGTCCAACAACATTTGGAGGGCTGTCCAATTCCAACCCTGCTTTTGGGCTACAAAAAAAAGTCAGGGTCAAGCTCACTAGCCTTACTGTGCAAGTAGCAAAAGAAGACACTTACAGGAGCAGCATAAGCCTTGTTTCCGGACGCCCAACAACATTGTGCGACAGAAGTTGCAGTAGGCAGGCTTCTTGAAGTGCTTCAACCTCCAGGCATGTTGCCCATCATCCTTTACATTCTATGGGGAAAGAAAATACTCAATCAGAAGACACAGAGGTAACCCAACTGGGCCTCCAGCTCATTCCTCTTGAGTAGATTACACTGTGGAAAAAAACAGACCTTGGGGAAAGTACTTTGTAAAATTCCCAAAATAACCCTCACAATATGGTTGACAGCATGTTTGATAGGGAAGTCTTATGTGTTGCACTGGAATTCTTTTGTTGATTCCTAAGGTGGCAATGGTGTTTATCCATTGATTTTAAAGGACTAGAATAGAGGCATCATTGTGACATTTACAGCTTTACTATATCTCCTCATCTATTTCTAAAATATTTGAGGACTAAATGAATGTATGCTAAAATGAATGTGTATTGAGGGTGGTAACAGATCAGTCATAGTTACTGGAGGAGCTCTTTTTGAAGGTCTCATTGAGAACAGCATGCGTCAAAATGATCTCTTGCATGCAATTAGAAAAAAAATGCTTAAGAGTCCCTTTTTACAAGCACTCATGTTTATTATATCAAACATTTTTGTGCAGTAGTAGCTGGCAACTCCATTGAAGATTCAAGGGTGTGCCTGTGTGTGGATGGTTCTTACTAGCAAACCAGGTCTCTCACCTCCAAGCCATAAAAGCTATTCCTTTGAGTAAGTAACAAGATAATTTGTGACAGTGGGAACCTTTTCCACAGTCATGCACTCCCATACATGCGTCATCTATGCTTGCAAAATATCTCTCTGCTATCATAGCAATCAATGTCTTCTTTTTAAAATTGAAATGGTGACTTTACATGAATGAATAACATAGAAATGGCCACACAGCCCGGAAAAGTCACAGCAACATAGAAATGTCTCCATAATATAGAACTGAGCAGTGTCTTTTTAAACTTGAAAGGCCAAAGATCTCAACTCTGAGGCTAATAAACCTCTTAGACAAACACAAAACATACACCACAAAAGGTGTTATATATATATGTATATGTGTGGATATGTATCTGAATCAAGGGTCAATGGCACAATCGGAAGATATTCCATCTTTTGTAATTAAATTGGTTGGATCATTTCCAAGAGGATGGAATGTGATCCAAGAAATACTCCAAAAGGACAGATTAATGCAATGCAATCCAACTGGGACTGATATGAACCAAGCCTGTCCATTCGAAAAGTGAGTTTAAACCACGGACTCCATGGTCCAAGAAAAAAATCCAAGAACATTGTATTCAGTCGGGAGTTCCTAATGGAAAAATGTCTTTTCAAAGGTATAGTGTGGCAACCTGTCCTCAATAGGGTTACGCTCCCCCTGAGGACACAGGTCCACAGTCTGGGGTCCTCCTGGACTCAGTGCTGACGCTTGATGCTCAGGTGTCAGCAATGGCCACGAGGGCCTTGGCACAGTTAAAGCTTGTGCACCAGCTGTAAATGTTCCTTGGGAAATCTAACTTGGCCATGTTGCTCCACTTCTTAGTTACCTCCAGACTGGACTACTGCAATGTGCTGTACAGGAGGCTGCCTTTGAAGATGGTTCAGAAATTGCAGTTTGTACAAATGTCGGCAGCCAGGTTACTAACTGGAGTGAACTACAGGGAGTGGTCAACCCCCCTGTCAAAACAGATCCACTGGCTGCCTATAAGGTTCCAGTCCCAATTCAAGGTGCAGGTTATAATCTACAAAGCCTAAATAGTTTGGGTCCAGCCTATCTTCATGATCACATCTTCCCCTATAAACCTGCACAAGCTCTAAGCAATTCTGGGGAGGCCCTTTTCTCGTTCCCACTTCAGTCACAGGTGCAGTTGGTTGGGATGAGGAAGAGGGCCTTCTCGGTGGTGGCCCACCAGCTCTGGAACTCTCTCCCCAGGGAGATTAGATTAGTGCCCACCCTATCCATTTTCCGTAAAGGGCTAAAAATATGGATGTTCCAATGTGCTTAATCAGTTCACTAGATGACTTTGGCCCCTCCAGTCATAACTTAATATCTGGGTCCTACATTTTACCGTTATCACTGCCCTTTAGTTGTATTGCACTAATTGACTTGGCCTTTCTAGCCCAGACTTATTATCTGGCTCCTGTACTTTTTTAAATCAGCCCTGTCCTTGCAACTGTTTTGCCAAGCCCCTGCCTCTCCCCTTAGCTTAGTATATGACTATTATGTTAGGCTATTGGTTGTTGTTGAGGGTTATGTTTTTATGATATTTTGTATTTGTAATTTTTTTTACTGTTTTATATTTTAATGTGGTCTCCATGTAAGCAGCCCCGAGTCTCTTCAGGGAGATGGTGGCGGGATACAAAAATAAAGTTGTTGTTGTTGTTGTTGTTGTTAAGGTATCAAATTTGAACAATCAGGCTTCACTTACCCTGGGTAGCAGAATGAGGGAAAAAAGAAGAGTGTTCTCTTTTCCCCATTCTTTCTGGAACCACGTGCAGACTCTTTAGAATGCTTCATATATATTAAATGTTTGGTGTAGTACTATGGAAAAATGTGTCTTCTTAATATATTACGTGTTCTGCACTAATCCATTTTTCTAGCTGATGACTCAAGTAAACAGAAGCATCAATAATCTCTGAAAGACCAATTCAACTTTAAAACAGTATACAACATGGTTATTAATCTTTTAAGATAATGCAGTAGATTTTGAAAGATAGTAGATATATGCTTGTTGTAAAGGAGCAGATAAATTTTTTATTTAGAGGAAGTTCATTAACTAAATCATAATAACCACATTTTAAAAAGATGAAGGTCATTGTCCTTTCCTTTTGTTGTAGTACTCTGTCAATTTGTTAGTTTGATTGGATGTTTATATTGTAAGTTTTAAATGTTATATATTGTTTGTTTAGTTTGTTTTTGCTAAGTGTTGCTTTTATGTAAATGAAAACCTTTTCATGGTAATAAAACTATATATTTTTTAAAAGACCAGTTGGTTGCTATGTCGACTACTATGTTGGCTTCAGCTGCTAAAACGGGAATATCTGGATTACAGGCAAGGAACAGAATAAATACGTCTCTATTCTTGCTGTCCTAGGAATGAAATGGGTGCATTTTGGAATTAACAGCAGAGGGAGCGTTGAAGAATGGGTCCCTTGTTCCCTCCCCAGGTGGATGTGGACTAAAAAGTACCACAATTAAAAAATAAGATCAAATATAATAGTTGGCTTACCATCCTAGCCATTCACTAGATTTCATTTTAACTCAAGTTGTATACTTCAAATTTTCATGGTGTCATTTTACATGACCCTGTTAATAAGCATTTTGGATGCTGTGCTGATAATATCAGTAAATAGATAGCCAAGCAATTTGAAAAACTGGCTTTCATGGTCCTGGTGCCCTCATGTGGTAAGATCTTTGCAAGACACTATATACAATCTTTTGTTCTTTGTTATTATTGATTTTCAGTTGTGCCTTTCTATGAGGTTTATTCACTTTAGTGGGGGTTGTACATGACATGCATCTTTTAAAAAACACATCTCTGTTATTTGTTTCAGTTTTAACAACAGATTTTAAAATCTAGCAGAGTAACCTGGTGTTCCATGTTTATATTTATAGATAAAATTGCAGAACTAGGAGGAAATGGGAGACAAATGGTGAAGTCAACGTACTTTATCATATGTGGGTGGTAGTAGGCATTACTGTGAGAGTACTACTAAAAGAGGACAATGATTTCAATATACTATCAGAGTGCCTAGCACACTGCTGTTCCTATATGGGCTGCCCAGTCAGACCTGAGAGCCTTTTTTGTAACCACTGGGTGCCATAGCTGAATTCAAGGTGGGAGGGGGTCCTCAGTGGTGCCATCAACCCACTTTCCCCCTTCAACATAGTTTTAACCAGCAGTATCAAATGCTAAACCAGGCATGGGCAAACTTTGGCCATCCAGGTGTTTTGGACTTCAATTCCCACAATTCCTAACAGCTGGTAGGCTGGGTTGTTGTAGGTTTTTTCGGGCTATATGGCCATGTTCTAAAGGCATTTTCTCCTGACGTTTCACCTGCATCTACGGCAAGCATCCTCAGAGGTAGTACTTGCCATAGATGCAGGCGAAACGTCAGGAGAAAATGCCTTTAGAACATGGCCATATAGCCCGAAAAAACCTACTACAACCCAGTGATTCCAGCCATGAAATCACTTTGACAATAGCTGGTAGGCTGTTAGGAATTGTGGGAGTTGAAGTTCAAAACACCTGGAGGGCCCAAGTTTGCTCATGCCTGGGAGAAACCTAGGGGATTTCTGCATGCAATGCAAGTGCAGTGCCACTGAGGAGTCCCTCTCCTCCGTATAGACAGGTGTTTTAAACAGAAACACTTTTTGAAAAGACTTACTTGAAAAGAAGTTATTTTATAATACAGTAAGATCCTGATAGCCATGGAACAGTTTAACTTCTTTTTGTCGGAAGGGAAAATGGTCTCTCTATGAAACTGCGATGTTCTCCAATAGATTCTGGGATATGCTTTCTCCTGACATTGCTAGAGAATTGCCTTGGAGGACCTAGCAAATTCCTTGACAGGATATCTCCCTAGGAATTTCTAGGTCCTCAAGGGTGACTCAATACCAGAAGTCATATAATTTAATAGCACTAGGTCATAACTATGGTTTCAGGTAACAGGGGACTTACTGTAGACCCCAAATGTGCCTTTACAATATTTTTGGGTGCAAAACCTGTATAAATCAGCCTGAGAAATGGCTGTTGTTACTAGTTCTCTAGCTAGAGATGAACACCCTTTTCAGTTCAGTGCTTCCAGTAGGTTATCTTCTCTGACGTCAGGCCAAGAACTCACTGTTTCCATGCCCAGCAAAACCAGCAAGGGGATGGTGGTCATCCCACCCCGAATCCACTCTTCTAGTGTCACAGTTCCATCATGGTCATAGTCTATTTCTTCCATCATCTCTTTCAAAATCTGTAGAAAACATTTGGAATTATCACACACCCTAAAAGAGCAACAACCTTAAAAAAAGCAATACACTGGCACAGAATATCAGAGCCTGTGCATGGGAAAGAACAGTATATGTGGCTCCAGTATGGAGTGCAGCCATTTTACTATGAGGGAAAATCCCTGGAGGCTGAAATGTAGGTCATGCAGAGGGTATTTAGGAAAACTGTTTTCTCTGTTTCTGTAAACAAGTGCCAAACCAATATACTTATTCATCAGGTCAGAACTATTGAGACACAGATCTGTGCCTCTCTTTGAATGACGCAATAATGGTCAAGACACCACAAAGTGAGGCTTATATGTTCCTATTAAAAAATGGTGTAGAGCAGGAACAGAGGTGATGACAAGCCTTCCAGCTGCCTGCTTCTGCCTTGCAAAGGAACCCCACTGTCCAAAGATAGAAGCTGATGCTTGGCATGCTCCTCACCACAATTTCAAATGTACATATCTACCTATGGTGTACTGAATTTGTGGTTTGTGATTCTGTGGGTACTGAAGGCCCACTGTAAATATAAATGATGAGACTGTATGTCAGGGATGATGGTGTATGCATTTGGGAAGATGACAGTATCGAAATGCCATACTGAAAATTGGAGACCACTTCTATTCCTTTACTGGCTGTTTAGAAGAGGATAATTATAATAATACTGTAACACTTTATTTATATTCCGTCCTCCCCGAGGGGACTCAGAGCGGATTACAGTATATAAGCAGACACAGGCAAACATTCAATGCCTGATTACAATGACATACATCATCATCATCATCATCATCATCATCATCATCATCATCATCATCATTTAATAACTTATTAATCGCCCTCCATCCGAGAATGCTCTAGGCGATTTACAGCTAAATTATAAAAGATAAAATACATACAAAACATCAAACACACAGACAATGGTAAAGGCTTCTCCTTTCATTTCCGGCTCTGGAGGCAGTGCTCAACTCTGGCTCTGGGGAAGGTGCTCTTTCTCCATTTCCAAGCCAAGAAGCCTGCATCCATAGACACTTCCTGGTTGTGTGGTCGGCACGACTGCTTGGAGCGTCTTTTTGCCTTTCCCGCTGAAGAGGTATCTATTGGTCTACTCCTATTTGAATGTTTTTGAACTGTTAGGTTGGCAGGAGCTAGGGCTAACACTGGGGAGCTCACCCCGTCTTACAGATTCGAACTGCCAATCTTCAGGCCAGCAGTTCAGCAGCACAAGAGTTTAACCCATTGCACCACTATGGCCCCAAATTCAACAGGTGTTGCAACCAGGTAACAAACAATACCAGCTGAGGTTCCCTCTTCTGTACTGGCATTAAAAGTGCATTCTCCAGTTTTCAATCTGACAAATCTAGGATTGAACCCTATGTCAAAAAAATAAATATATGGAGCCAGTTTGTATGTAACAAAAGTGTCAAAAGTAAGAACAATCAGGTTGCAGGTCCAACCTGACTCCCACCAGTTGATCCCATAGTTCGAACATTATCATCTGATTCACCCAACTTAGACATACCAGATTTTCCAAAACCATTGGATCCAAGTCAGATCTTCAGTATGAATAATCTATCTCATTGGCTAATGAGTCCCCTATGGGAGCCATCATTGTGCATGGTTCAGGCGTTGGACTAGGACTCTAGAAAGCATGGTTTGATCCCCATTTCAAGTATGAAAACCAACTGGGTGGCCTTGGACACTCTCTCAGTCTCAGATGAAGACAAACACCCTCTAATTAATCTTGCTAGGAAAACACAGCGAAAGGTTTGCTGGAGGTACAACCTAAGTGGGAAATGACTTGAAGGTACACAACAAGAGCAGGCCTCTTTTCTTTTGTTCTAGAACTTTGCCTCTAGCCCAGTGGTTCTCACCCTATGAGTCCCCAAATGTTTTGGCCTTCAACTCCCAGAAATCCTAACAGCTGGTAAACTGGCTGGGATTTCTGGGAGTTGTAGGCCAAAACACCTGGGGACCCACAGGTTGAGAACCACTGCTCTAGCCTTTCTGGTTCTTGTTTATTTCTTTCAGAATTAGATTCTCTGCTATGTTCTGTTTCAGAGCTTAGTCAAAAATTATAGGCAGGATATTCACTGGAGAAAAGTTATGGGAGTGTTTAGGACCATGTTTTCCTCATCTCAGTTAATAGGTGAAGCACCGATAAAAACATGCTTTTCTTCATTTTCTTCTGTTTCCTAACTCACAGAACCACCTTTTTTTACGACATGGCTATGTTACAATCTCTGAAGGATGAAATCACAAATGGCAAGTTGGTTATTTAAGAGTCCTTCCTACACAAATGTGTCATTCCAATAAACAGTAAAAGAAGGGTTCATCAGTAATGTTTCCCTCTGAAAGGAGATTAGCAGGACACTGAGGGCTTCTAAATAAAAAGAGCACTTTGCAAAACTCACCGGTTTCAGTTCAGTGGAGTCCCATTCCAAGTATTCTGCAACGTGAACCATCTGATTGATAATACGATCCAGCTCCTGTTTTCAGAAATAAGACAAAGGGAGAGAGGGACAAAGGGGGAGAGAGAGAGGGAGGTAGGGAGGGAGAAAGAAAGAAATGTAGCCGTGTGCGTGTATTACCAGTGACGTTGTATTGCATGTCACAGACATATTTCAACAAACAAGAAGATGTTATCTGACATTTTATGAAAGTTGGAGAACATCTTTCCACCTACTAGCTGCTTCTATGATGACACTGTTGGGAGGTTCTGGGGATACATTTGTTGAGGATTTCATGCTACAGTAATATTGTGTATCATTGAAAGACAGGGGGAAAAACTCATAATTTTTTCCATGTCAGAAGCAACTTGAGAAACTGCAAGTTGCTTCTGGTATGAGAGAATTGGCCATCTGCAAGGACACTGCCCAGTGGACAGTTTTTATGTTTTACCATCCTTGTGGGAGACTTCTCTCATGTCCCCACATGGGGAACTGGATCTGACAGAGGGAGCTCATTCATGCTCTGCCTGAATTCAAACCTCTGACCTGTCAGTCTTCAGTTCTGCTGGCACAAGGGTTTAACCCATTGCATCACCAGGGGCTCATGGTATTGGTTAAGGCAACATTGGCCGCCCAGCATGGAAGGGACCTCAAAAGTTGATGAAGATCCTCTCAACCTGAGACCAGCCTGCTCCCAAACCCTACATCCTGCAGAACTGACTTCAGGTTGAAAAGAGTTTCCTCAACTAAGTTTGGGTCCCTTCCATGTTAGGAGACCATTGTAGACTTAACCAACACAAATACCACCAGCTCAGCCGGACCTGGCTGGCTAGTTTTATTTATTTCCTGACACAAGGAATATCTAATTCATCTCTGTATAGTTTAGTTTTTGGAATGTTTTTAAAAGGGCAAGTTCGTCTTCATCCCAGATCATTTTTGTTCTGGTAACAGGTGGTAAAGCTCTCTCAGAATTTGATTAAGGTATTCTGGTTTTAATGTTGTAGGATTCTTTCTTTCAGTTAAAGTGTTTAGGAAGATGTGACTGATATATTTTCCCCGAGGAATTTACCTGGGACTTAGAGGGGCACTTTGTAATGATGGCCCACTTTTTGGTCATCTCTGTATAACATTATTGGGTTTTGCTAAAACCCAGCAACTTTATTCAAAGATGAGTTAAATATTACTGATCTATGCTTAGTTGTATGGTTCTATGTCAAAGTTTGGAAACATTTTTTTGGGGGGGGGGGTATCCTACAACTCCCTGAATTGTAGAACAATGACTCCAGAATCAAAGTAGGAAAACTGCTGGGCATTTAAAAAAAAACAGTGACCTCAATTTCTTTGAAAAGGCATTTCTTTAAAGGATGACTTACCGAGCTGTCCAGGAGGCCATTGCCATCTGTGTCATACAATCGAAACATAACTGCAAGAAAACACAAAAGGAACAAAGGTCTGTAATAACTGCATGCACTTATAGGCACTCATAGTCAGTCTCTTTGGTCTATTGCTGCACTAGCATCAATAAACTCATGAAGCAGCAGCCTCCAGGTATCACTGCAGATGAGAATAATCCACATTTACACAAACACATGAATTTTAAACACAGCATACTTCACTCTTTCCTAAAGTTTTTGTGCATTTATATAGAATGATGTAGTCTCTTCTTACTTTCAGGCTGGGTTTTCCACTGTGAAACATGGGATCTTGGTTCACCCAATTGCAAGAGAACAAAGTCCTTTGTAGAAACTAAGGAGAAATCTTCACTGTAGAACAAATGCAGTTTGGCACCACTTAAATGGCTATGGTTCAATGCTATGGAATCCTGGGAGTTGTACTTTTACAAGGTGTTTCACTTGTTTGTTAGAGAGTGGTAGTGCGTCATCAAAATGCAAAGCCCAAAATTCCATAGCACTGAGCCAAGACATTTAAAGTGGTGACAAACTATATTAACTCTGCAGTGTAGATGCACCACTGGATGACAAGATCTAGAATCCTGACAGCCAGTACAGTCAGTGGCCAAATTGCTAGGAAATTCTGGGAGTTGTAGTCCAAAAAGTAATGTTGCCAAATTCTCCAAAGACCACTATGTATGGCTGTCTATTTTTGTGAGGATGGGGAACTATGATTGCCAGATCTCATGATGTGACCCTTTGTCCTTAAATCAGGGGGAGGAATTTCAGGCTGAAAGTGCTGCCTTAAAAAGTGTGTATGTTAGACTGGGTGTATTTATTTGAACAGAATGTCTATGATGAATGTTGAAGTGATCATGCTCAATGACATCACAAGCGACTGCTCCTTTTGACATGTTGGTAATTGAATGGGAGATCATGAATATATACAAGGCACTGTAGATGATATTTCAAAGGAAGGAACTGGCAAAACCACCACTGAATATTCCTTGCTTAAGAAATATTAAATTCCAGAAGGTTGCCATAAGTAGACAGGCTATTCATTTAACAGAAGAGATAAGAGGTACAGCAATTTTCTTCTTCTTATAGCAATGATTTAATCTACATGGATTTAGACTTATTATTTGATTCTAGACAGACTTTTGAGACAGGAAATGCAATACTTCTCATTCGTATTAGGAATCCGAGCATCAACAAAACTCAAGAGCATCTGTGATAATATTCAGTTTCAGTAAACAGTTCTGCCACAATAAAATCTCTCTGATTCACTATGGATGATAGTATCATATATATGGGGGCAAATTTCCCTGCTCCTCTCAAGTACAGTGTTTTGTCCTTCCTTTTGCTCCTGATGCTGTATTTGTGTGCCAAATTTATCTTTTGACCTCAATGCTCTCTACATGCCATGAATCTTTAATTGCTTGTCTGAGCCATATCGTATCAGTTCAGGCTCAAAGAAAAAAAATGTGACTGAGTGAAAAAACTACTTGTAGTTCAACTCCTTAAGTAGATGTAATACAAAATTATTTAATATCAGGGATTCTGTACTCATCAGTGGACGAGGCTATTTAAATATAATAATAATAAAGCGAAGAAAAACAATATGAAGGGCACCAGAGGGCAGACTTGTACAGTTTTCAGATAAGCTGATATAAGAGCTGTTTCCCAGGGCATTGGCTCTGTGCCTTGGAGAAGGTAATAAATAGGTAGCAGCCTGCATTCTTCCCCGTTATAGCATAGTTTCAGACTATCTCCATTCATTCTCTAGTCTCTGCATTACAATTAGTTCAGTTATCACAGCCACCACTGGAACTATGCAAGCAGTAAGAAAAAAGGTTAACAACTTTGCTCCCGAGATGCAAAACAAATCCTCTTGCACATTTGGTAGACAACAATTCAGCAAGGGAAGCTTTGAATTCCCAAGTCTATCCATTCAAAATCAGGGATACCAGGTTAAAATAATTGCTCCTCTGATATACTGTTCAGTGTGTTTTAATATATGCATTTTGATAGTAGGTTTTAGCTATGTGTTTTAACCATGTTGTACCTGCCTCAAGCCCTGAGGAGAGGTGGGTAACAAATACATCATCATCATCATCATCATCATCATCATCATCTACTATTATTTTACTAACACAAAAACACAGTATGACACAGCAAACAAGATATATATGCTGAATTTCATATCACAAAATTATTATTATTATTATTATTATTATATTCGCAACAAGATTAGTACATAGCAAACAAGATCATTATGCTGGCTTTTGTATTCAATCACATGTTGGACACTTCCCAATTGTCTAGGACTGTATAATGTATCGGCGAATAATGAATGCAGATCTGAGTAGGGTGGCCTTTTGTAGCAGATAGATGGTAATTTGTCATTTGTCTTTAAGTGCAGACCAAGGTCTTTAGGCACTACATCGAATGTGCTGATCACCACTGGGACCACCTTTACTGGCTTGTGCCAGAGTCTTTTCAGCTTGATCTTTAAATCCTTATATCGTGTAAGCTTTTCCAGTTGCTTCTTGTCAATCCTGCTGGGATAGCAACATCAATGATCCACACTTTGTTTTTCCCCACGGTCATGAGGTCAGAAGTATTGTGCTCCAAAACTCTTGTCAGTCTGAATTCAAAATTCCCAGAGTAGTTTAATGTGTTCAATAATAATAATAATAATAATAATAATAATTATTATTATTATTATTATTAACCAAAAACGAAGACGCTGGGGGGAGGGCAGCAATTCCTGAGTGTTGCTTTTACTAAGAATGACACAAGAAGCATTGACTACAACCATTCTGAGCATGTTGTTTAAATATAAACACCAATACTAACACAAATGCAAAAATCTTATCAAGTTTTGCATTGAGAGAGAGGGGAAAGCACTTTACTTAACTGTGTTTTAACACGTTTGCATATGTTGTTTTTAAGGACATATGGGAATTGTACTCCAAGCAAACTAATTTTCCCATGCTCTGCTTTGCGCCATCTACACTATTCATGGAGGCCCAGCTAGATCAACCCATTGAAACAATTGTTGAATGTTAAGTCGGCACTTAGGTAAATTCTATTGATGCAGTGCATGTACTCTACTTGGGGGCACTAAAAATGTGAAGAACAAAATGTGCGTAGGTATCTACATCTATATATTTCAAGGCAATCATCTCTCCTCCTGCAATCCTCCCTCCTGCCTCCTGAGAACCAGAGAAGTGACTCCAAGTTCTGATTCAAATAGGAACCTGTATGTAAGCGTGAAAGCTGATTCTGGCACCACATTCCCATGCCTGCTATGACACATGCGGAAATGCTATACCTGAATAGGTGGGTGACCCTGCAAGTTTGATTCCAAGGTGTTATTTCTAGAAATGTCTCATAATTAACCTACCCTTTGCCATATCAATTAGCAAAGATTGGTGTGGAAAACAAGGACTTTCTAATGGCACATGACTCAGACATTCAGCTTGGCACATGTTGGGAACCGTCAAAAGAAGAAGAAAAACAGCCGCCGGAAGTTTGTACTTTTGTGAATCAGCTCTGCTACGCATTTGTATTGAAAATGACAGATCGTTAAAGGATTCGCCTCCCCCACTTCTTGCTAGAATTAGTAACTTGAAACGGAGCAGACCTCCATGTCTACAGGGCCAGACTGCCATGCCCGCCCCCTTAAAAGCAGCTCTCCAAGTTAAATTTCGAAGTAGAATTTGGTTTTGTGTGAAATTTCAGCTTATCAAAACAACAACACTTCACTGGTTAGTTCTACAGCACTGCCAAATGCAAACATTAGCAACATAATTAGTCTTAGACACCTGATTCGTTGCTCACATTTCAGAAGGAAGAAAGGCCATTTCATAAAGATCAATTAATTATGTCAATAACCAATTCACTTCAGTGACACTTCCTCTGATTTCAGGGCTGGTAGAGGTCAATGCATACAGAGAAATATCCAGAAAGATATTTTTACCCTCCTCCATTGAAATTCACAGATGGAATTTGTGGCTAGACCAGGCATGGGCAAACTTTGGCTCTCCAGGTATTTTGCACCTCAACTACCACAATTCCTAACAGCTTACCGGCTGTTAGGAATTGTGGGACTTGAAGTGCAAAATACCTGGAGGGCTGAAGTTTGCCCATGCCTAGGCTAGACTGAAGTAGGAGTCATAGAGCTCCCAAGAAGATGTTGATCTCCAAGTCCCAGAAGTCTTAGCCAACATACCCAATGCTGAGAAATGTGAGGGGCTGCAGCCCAACAACATCCAGATGGTTGAATGATTCTGACCTCTGGTCTAGATGATGTTCAAAATAAAAAAGTGAGAAAACATGGGCAAATTACTAACATAACATGATGACATTTGGACACTTTATCCTTTTAAAATCATAGAACCATTGAGTTGGACGAGACCTCGTGGGCCATCCAGTCCCTTCCAAGAAGCAGGATAAACACATTCAAAGCACCCTCAATAGATGCCCACCCAGTCTCTGTTTAAAAGGCTCCAAAGAAGGAGCCTCCACCACACTTCAGGGAAGAGTTCCACTGCTGAACAGCTCTCACAGTTTTTCCTCATGTTCAGGTGGAATCTGCTTTCATGCAGTTGGAAGCCATTGTTCCGCATCCTAGTCTCCAGGGCAGCAGAAAACAAGGTTGCTCCCTCCTCTCTATGACTTTCCCTCACATATTTATACATGGCCATCATGTCTCCTCTCAGCCTTCTCTTCTGCAGACTAAACATGCCCAGCTCTTTAAGCTGCTCCTCACAGAGCTTGTTCTCCAGACCCTTGATCATTTTAAGTCGCATTCCTCTGGACACATTCCAGCTTAAATTGCAGTGCCCAGAACTGGACACAGTATTCCAGTTGTGATCTGAACGCACCTGGAATCAAATAAACAATAAAATAAAATGGCTCTCAGGAAGTTCTTAGAATCATAGAATCATAGAGTTGGAAGAGACCACATGGGCCATCCAGTCCAACCTCCCGCCAAGAAGCAGGTGAATCACATTCAACTTCTCAACATCTCCCTTCTATTGTGGTGTCCAGAATTGGACACAAAATTCCAGGTGTGGTCTGACCATGGCCGAATAGAGGGGCAGCATGACTTTCCTGGATCTAGAGACTAGACTCCTACTGATGCAGGCCAAAATCCCATTGGCTTTTTTTTGCCACCGCATGACATTGTTGGCTCAGCTTTAACTTGTCTCCGAGGACTCCAAGATCTTTTTCACACATAAAGCTGTTGAGGCAGGCGTCTCCCATTCTGTATCTCTGCATTTCATTTTTTCTGCCTAAAATCTGATACAAGGGACTGGGAAATTGCTGCAATGAAAGGCAATGTGATCTTCATGTGGAATTTCTCCCATGTTTTCTAGCTGCTTCTGTTAGCAACGTTTGCACAGAGAAATTGCTACTTTATTTGCTTTGCCACATAATACTCTTTCTGGATTACTCTAAACTCACTTCTTTTTTGTTCCTTTCTTTCCTATATAAGACCAAGTATTTGATTGTGAGCAAATAATTGGTAAGTGACATACTTTTAAATGCTTTTACAATAGAAGGCAAAGGTTGTTTCTTTTTTCTGTTAGTCACTGAGTATGCGAAAGATTGGCTGTTGTTCAGCCTTTGCCTTGCCAACTGACTACTTTGCTCACATTAATTCCCCCATTACAGTTTCCTCTTTTTTTCTCATCATAGAAAAAACTCAGTAAGGGAGAGGTGAAATAACGGCAAAATTAGTTTTGATCACCAACACAAGAAGTCATCTATCTGGGAGCATCCCAGACCAGTAATGCAGATATATCGGAATATTTTAAGACCACAAAACTCTCTCTGGGTTGCTGTGAGTTTTCCAGGCTGTGTGGCTAGTATTAAAAAAACTCTAAAATCAGGACAGTAAATAAAGAACAACACTCAGAAAACGGGGGAATTCCAGACAAGAAACAATAAGGGCCAGCTAACACCTCCCAACAAAAAAAATCCCCCAGGCAGGAAGCAGCCAGACCTTGAAAATGCAAGGCCATTCAGTGCAAATCAAGGTGGTCGATTGCAACATTCACACTTACCTCACGTAGTCAAGAATTCTTTCTCCTTCCCTGGACATTCCACAGATGTATCAACCCCATTTCCCTAGTTTCCAACAGAACACACAACCTCTGAGGATGTGTGGAAAACTCACAGCAAGCCAGTGATTCCGGCCATAAAAGCCTTCAACAACACATAAAACTCTGTGTGTTTTCTTTGGTTTTTTAAAAAGTATTGTGATGCTATGAATGGTAGCATTTTTTCATTGGAGCTAATCTGACTGGTTTTCCTATCTAGGGATGCAACAGGACTGGGATTTTCAAGCACTATGGCTCCGAGAAGAAAGAATCTCTTTGAACTTCCTCAAATCCCCAAAAAGTAGCAAATTAGAGACCTCTTATGCAGACTATTAGATTAAAAGATATTTTTAGATGATTTTTTTTCATTTATTGAAAAGGTAGAATTAAATCAAGCAAGTAAGAGGAAAGGAGCTTGACCTCTTAAGATTTTGTTTTTGGCTGGTGATTTTATATTGGGAAAGGGGGAAGATTGAGCTAATCATGCAAGAGAAAAATGAGTTCAGATTTCTCAATTTAAACACTGGTAGGGAGTTCATACCTTTGTATCTGCATTCAGTTTTAAGGAGGTGTTAGAAATGCAGCAATGCTTAGCACTGAAGAGCCAAGAATGTTTCACAGCAGGCAGTAATAATAGGGTTAGACTAGGCAAGGGCAAACTTCAGACCTCCAGGTATCTTGGACTTCATCTCCCACAAATCCTACCAAGTGTAAGCTCACTGGGATTTCTTGGGAGTTGAAGTACAAAACACCTGGAGGGTTGAAGTTTGACCATGTCTCAGTTAGACAGTTTAAGTGTCTTTCCCAGGCACGGGCAAACTTGGGCCTTCCAGGTGTTTGGAATTTTAACTCCCACAATTCCTAACAGCCAATAGGATTGAAGTCCAAAGCACTTCGAGGGCCCAAGTTTGCCCATGCCTACTCTTTCCTCTGTGCCTACCTGTTCTAATGTCGCTGTGATGTAAACGGATACTTTTAGAGATGTTTGCTCACCTCTTTTCCATCCCATCAGTCTGCTCTTAGGTGTTCTATAGAATGGATCTAGATTAAAGTGGCAGCTTGATAAACTTTCTTATCTTAGAATGGAATTCTTATAATAAATCCTTTACTTTGTTTTCTCTAAGCCACTGGTGCCTTAGTTCCTTAATCAGGATCTTTAACTGCTGAATGTATTCTATGAGGTTTTGGGTCCAGCCTGCTTCTGGCCAGTGAGCAAGCTGCAATTAAATAATATTCTGCAATGTTACATAACCAACAAATCTACCCACAAATCTACCTGAAGTCCTGGCTGTTTAAACACACTTTTGAAAATGCCTAGTCTCTTGTTATCTATATAATTGTTATACAGCCATACTTTATCCCATGCCCTCTTCCCATGGCTACAGCTTTGCACTTATCCCATTCCCAGTTCGATTGTTTTCTACCAGGCCACGTTTATAGTAGGTTACCTCCAGTTGGCTGATGAATACTGTTTTTAATTGAGTGTTAGTTGTTGTTTATATGCCCATTTGTTCTTAATTGCATTTTGAAATCGTTTTCATTTTATGTTCTGTTTTTAGACACCTTGTGGTGTGAGTTAGCGGTCCCAAGTCCCTTTGGGGAGTTGGTGGAAGGATACAGAAATAAAGTTGTTGTTGTTGTTGTTGTTATTATTTAAAACACAAAAAGATTAGTACACAGTAAACAAGGTCACTCTGCTGGCTGTTGTATTGGATCACACATCGAACACTTCCTAAGTGTCTAGGACTGTGCAGATCCCAGTGGGGTGGCCTTTTGCACCTGACAGATGGTAATTTTGTCAGTGCCAATTGTGTTTAAGTCTTTAGGCACTGCAACCAGTGTGCTGATCACCACTGGGACCACCTTGACTGGCTTGTGCCAGAGTCTTTGCAGTTCAATCTTTAAATCCTCGTATCATGTCAGCTTTTCCAGTTGTTTCTCTTCAATCCTGCTGTCACCTGGGATTGCAACATCGACGATCAATACCTGGTTTTTTAACATGATTGTGAGGTCAGGAGTATTGTGCTTCAAAACTCTGTCAATCTAAATTCGAATTATTATTATTATTATTATTATTATTATTATTATTATTATTATGCTCTGCTGTATTGGAAAGGAATGGGTGAGTATTTTGTCAATGGGTTCATTCCCAGTGGACACCCAGGAGTGCACAATTGCTTACAGCTGCAAGTTGCTAGCATTACTGCCTCCTTTGAGACCAGGAGCCCCCCTCCCCCTTCCCACCACCACCACCACTATCCCTTGTCACGCTGACCCCAGTTGCAGCGTCGTGCTCCAGTTGCATGCATTCCTGTCACCCAAGCACTTACACTCCAGCTTATCCTCAGCCCGTCCCCTTTCCAGCAGTGACAGGGAGCAGACAATGTCCTTCAGGTAGACTACCTGAGCCAATGATGGGGCTGGTGGTTGTGGACTGGCTGTTTTCAGGGAGATGTGGCTCTTTCGGAGGTTGAATGGCAATTTCTTCTCCAAGCTTTTGGAGCCTAGAAAAGGAGACAAGAACATTCACAGCTGTCTTAGCACTCCAATGCGCATTTTGGACCCTTTAGTCAGGCAAGGGAAATGTTCACCTGCGTGTACCAGCATGAACATTTTACATTTCCTGGATCATATGTTGTTGCAGGATCTACATGAATCTTAGGCTCCCTCCTCAAAACCGAATAAAATCTCACATTATCTGCTTTGAACTGGAATATATGGCAGTGTGGACCCAGACAACCCAGTTCAAAGCATATATTGTGTGATTGTCTGCCTTGATATTCTGGGATATAGGGCTGTGTGGAAGGACCCTTAGACCTCCAGAATAATGATTCATACAGACATTCGCAGTTGAAAAGAAATATCTCCAAATATCAACTACTTAACTTGCACAGGCTTCCCTAGTTCCCCTTAAAGGTGTCTGAAATGAGAATTATCTCAAAAAAATCTATCATTTTCTGCAATGGGCCACTATTCCCCCCCCCCCCAGTGAATATTGGGGTGGGAATCTTAGGCCATATTCATACTCACTAATATTTCACTGATGAAAACCAGGATTGTGTGACCAAGTAATATTTCTGTATAGCAAAATGTATGGTCATTAATAAGGGAAAACATATTAGTTAGAGAAAGGCTGCCGCGCAAACTACAAAGGTTAGGTTGTGTGCCCTCTTTCCTTACTCCCCTGCTGACTTAATTGAGTGCACACTAATATTGCAATCTGAACTTAGCTTGCAGCATCTGAAGCTAGTTGAAGAAATAATAATAATAATAATAATAATAATAATAATAATAATAATAATAATAATGCTTTTTTTTATAACCCGCCCTATCTCCCCGAAGGGACTCAGGGCGGCTTACAACAAAAGAAAAACTAGTGGCAAACATTCAATACTGAGAATGACACATAACAAGTCAAAAATGAACTCAATAAAAATGATAAAAGAGCAACTTAAATAAACATGCCATAATACATATAATAAAATTTTATTTCTGTGCTGCCCTATCTCCCAAAAGGGACTCAGGGCAGTGTACAACAAAAGATTGGCAAACATTCAATGCCTTAGAAACATAACATAATAAAGCACTTCAAATAATAAACAATCCAATAGACAGCATCAGGGTATACTTATAAAACAACTCAATAACAAGTGTGAAATTTAAATATACAAAGTAAAATAATTGGGACACATTTCTCTAATGACTCTAATAATGGTCAGAGGTAATTAACACATTTTAAAAAATCCTACAGTTAACATAGTGGGGAATGGGCAAGAGAAAGAAACTGGAACATTCTAAAAGCAACTGAAACAGGAGGGGTGACAGAGGAGGATGCTTGGCATAGATGCAGGTGAAACATCAGGAGAGAATGCTTCTAGAACATGGCTATATAGTCTGAAAAATCTACAATAACCCAGTGATTCCGGTCATGAAAGCCTTCGACAATACATTGATTGGGACAGTTGAAGGGAAAGCTCTTTTGGGTGGATCATGATGAAGTAAAGCAGGAGATCCCATTTGGAGAAAATTACATGGGGAAACTGGAATCCACTGGGTTGAAGAAATACCTATTATTACAAGAAGGGAATGTTTTATTTTATCTTACTTCATTGTTATTCTATATTATGTTTTGTGATTCTGATTAGGCAAAATAATGCTTCCTGCAGAGACAAACACTCCTTTGAACACAGGCCATTTTTATGCACCGAAATTTAGTGAAATGCTTATTTGGATCAGAAAATGCCCCACAACTCATGCAATATATATATATATATATATATATATATATGATGCATGAAAGTAAAATCCTCGGGCCTTTTTTGTCTTGGCTGGATTCTTGGCAGAAGCACAAAGATCTCAGGAAGGATTCACAGAATTCACTCCACTCCAGGTCTGAATAGTCTGTTTTATCTCTAGCCGTGTAAACTTGAGTGGGCTGCAACACTCTAACCCTTTGACAGCTGAGGAAGAACTATCCTCCCATCGGGAGAAAAAAACACTCTCATCCACCTGGCTCCTCCTTCCCAGTAATGCTGTGTACAGAATTATACTAACGTTCATAATACTCTTGGATGTAATAAGGTCATCCATCTTCTTGCCTCTGCCAGATCTTTGTATGCATGGATTTTAGAATTAACTCCAAGGATGTGCCTCAATTCACACACCTCTCTGTTAACCTTTAAGGGAAGGGAAATGCCAAGCACATAATTTCACAATTGTTTGGGGGATTTATTATATTGCAGTTCAGTGGATTTTATTACTGTTGACTAATGCTTTTGCAATGTTTTATTCAATTGAATTTTACGCATTAGCTGGAAAGGTCTATAAATACATTTGCAAAAACAATAATTACATGAACCATCCTATAGGTATAGGGTTACGGACAGAAGCACAGTGCACATTGTGTTCTGTTTTTTCATCTACTGTTTTGAATGCAACCACAAAACAGATACTAGAATCAATATCCGACTATAGTTGAAATCCTGTTGAGGATTTCTGTATATGAAAATATTGTAGTTATATAGACCTCACAACCTCTGAGGATGCCTGCCATAGATGCAGGCAAAACATCAGGAGAGAATACTTCTAGAACATGGCCATACAGTCTGAAAAAGCTGCAACAACCCAGTGATTCTGGCCATGAAAGCCTTTGACAACACACTGTAGTTATAGTGATACTTAATGAATCCTATCCAAGTCCACCCAGTCTCCGCTTACTAGAAAGCAGTTAATGCTATCAATAGGGGTCTGTTCCCCTGTTGATTGGGAAGCAGTGGATTGACAGTCCCACACTTTCCTGTGAACAACCAGGACACTTGTCATAATTCCCCCTCACACCGGAGATCCCTTGAGCAAGGGGGTGGGTGGAACCATCTGCTAGCTGTTTCCTGATCAACAAGGGAACAAAATCCCATCAATTGTAGCAATTGCTTCTTGATGAGTGGAGTCTGGGGGACTTTGATACCCCCTGAATAGCTATGTAGGAATTGTGAACAAAGAACTGTCATGAGTGTATAATTCTAGCTTATACATTCTGAACCAGCCGGTACATCTCCATCCAGTATTCTTTATTTTATGTAGTTCTCACAATAGTGGCAATTATAAATATAACTGCCACCATTGGGGGATGTCAAGTTTTACACTGGTGGAAATGTCTCCCCTTTCATCCTCCCAATCCACCTTTTAACTGTTGCAGCCACCTCAAAGTCAATTTATGATAGTTGGAGAACAACAGAGCAGCATCCAACTGTGTTTCAAAAGCTGGGTGAATAGAAGCAATCCTTCAAGACGTTCTCAGTTTTCAGTAGTCTGTAAACTGCTGTTTAGGTGGAGCTGCATTAGCAAAAAGATGGATCTGTGGGGAAGTCTGTTCACTATATGTGGTTGGTAAATATTTCCAACTTTACAATTCCACTCCCCCCCCCCCAAAAAAAAGAAATACTTATGCAGGTATATACCTGGCTTATGTCTTTATAAATCATTAAATGAACACCAACCATTTTCCACAGTAATTTATACTGGCAGAGGAAGGACCCCTCCCCCAAACCTCAATCAATGGCTATATTCCATTTGCGGTTTTCCATCTGTGGTCACATTACTGTAGTGGTAAAGATAGTGCTGCCAGACTGAAAATGAGAGCATTCCTGCATCATCAATAGTTTATTGTTTATTTATGGTGACCCCATATGGAATGGAGTAAGGAAGGAATATTCATAGGTGGTTTTGCCACTTCCTTCATCTGAAATATAGCTTCCAAAACCTGGTACTTGTTAATGGTTTTCCATCCAAGTGGAGCCCTCGATGGTGCAATGGGTTAAACCCTTGTGCCAGCAGGACTGAAGGCTGACAGGTCGGAGGTTCGAATCCGGGGAGAGCACGGATGAGCTCCCTCTGTCAGCTTCAGCTTCCCATGCAGGGACATAAAAGAAACCTCCCACAAGGATGATAAAACATCAAACCATCTGGGCATCCCCTGGTCAACATCCTTGCAGACAGCCAATTCTCTCACACCAGAAGCGACTTGCAGTTTCTCAAGTTGCTCCTAACATGAAAAAAAAATCCTAGTATTAAATTGGGCTGATCCTGCTTAGCTTCCAAGATCAGACATGATCTGGGTGAGAAACCTCAATAAACCAGAGGTTCTTGGCCAAAGGGTGGCAATTAAGGAAGTGGCTGACAGGTAACTGCTAAGGCACTTGAGGACATGAAGATATCTTCTTCCTATCCTCTCCCCAGCCCTCTACCAAGTTAACAGTACTCTGGAGCTAGTATCTCTCCCAGCCTGACTCTTGTTGCTATGGAATAAGGCTATCGGCTAATAGAATCCCAGCAAAGAAACAGGTCTCCCCACATCCCCCCTGCAAATATACACATTGTTGAAAGTGCAAAAATGCCATGGAATTCCCTGTGACTGAGACAACAATGTGGCTTAATACGGCTGTGTTCAGGCAGCTGGTGACACCTCTATAGAGATACTGGCTTGTCGCAAATAATGCCACTGTTTGCAAAGACAAGAGCAAAATGTTTCCCATGGTGATTCAGAGGGAATTCCCAGGAGTCCCTGACTGCCACTGTGCAGCAGGTGGATTTTGCTGAGCCTGTGGAGAGAGGATGTCACCTATATAATGACTGATGCTGTGTGAAAATTAGACTTGAACTCTTACTCTTGGCCGGTTGTCAATTTTTTGGATTTCTGTGAGTTTTCCGGGCTGTATGGCCATGTTTCAGAGGCATTCTCTCCTGACGTTTCACCCACATCTATGGCAGGCATCCTCAGAGGTTGAGGGTCTGTTGGAAACTAGGCAAATGAGGTTTGTATATCCTGTGGAATGTCCGGGTGGGAGAAAGAACTCTTGTCTGTTGGAGACAAATGTGAACGTTGCAATACAGTCTGGAAAACTCACAGCAACCCTGTGATTCTGGCCATTAAAGCCTTTGACAACACATCATTTTTTTTTCTTTCCACATTCCTATAAGATCAACATGCCATTTAATCAACTATAACCCCTTATGCAAATTTCATTAATACACTTTCACCATTTTGACAGAACAAAAAGACAGCTTCACATCAAGCCATGACATTAGTTTTACCCGATTGCAGTCAGGCAAAGCTGGAGAACATCAATGTCATTCATAGGAGAGTTTTGGAGGAGCAGGGCCAACATAGGACTCACCTGGGGATTGTGGGCTTAGCAGAGAACCTGAGGAGATCTTGGAGGACCCTGAGGAATTGTGAGCAGAAGGGGTACCGGCAGTGGATTTCTGTGATGACGACCTGGACCAGCTTGGTGAGGCGTTCCCAAGGGCATTGGTATTGGTTGGAGTGGGACATAAGGAGGCTGTTTGCTGCTCTGCCAGGTTTGCCTGGGAGCTCTTGGATTCAGGCGTGTGCCTTCCCATGGTGTTGAGAGTTTTCCCATTGATCCCTATAAATCAAACATAGCACAGATTTAGTTACTTGTTAGAGAAATGTGTTCCTGCATGGCAGGGGGTTGGACTGGATGGCCCATGTGGCCTCTCTTCCAACTCCATGATGCACACCAGTTAGGTGCTTGGGTCTCGTCTTTTCAGAAGCCCATTTCAGGCAAAGTTTGTAGTCAGCAAGATGAAATTTACTTTCCTTCACAGATCAGGACCACTAAAGAATGTGAATCAGTGTCTCACATACACCTCTTGGAATCACAGAGTTGGAAGGAGACTCCACCACATTCTAAGTTGGTGTATTCCACTGTCAACAGTTCTGACCATCAGGAAGTTCTTCCTAATATTCAGATGGAATCTCTGGCATGAGCTTGGCCCTTACTGATTCTTTCTAATTAGGTTAAAGAAATTTGGACAGTGGTTCTCAACCTGTGGGTCCCCAGGTGTTTTGGCCTACAACTCCCACAAATCCAAGCCAGTTTACCAGCTGTTAGAATTTCTGGGAGTTGAAGGCCAAAACATCTGGGGACCTGCAGGTTGAGAACCACTGAATTAGGCTAACTCCAAACCCTCTCCACTTAGGAACAGAGCTCAGAAAAGTTACTTTGTTGGATAACAGCTGTTGGAGCATTCCACCGTGAAAAGAGCTGTGGCTCCCAAATATAACTTTTGTAAGTTTTGCATAGGACTCCCTCCCCCCGCCCCCACTCTATTGCCACTGGATTGCTGGTGCCCCTGCATTTTACGGTGTCCTCAAACAGAAACAGCTTGGTAGGTTTAATTTCCAGGATGTGGCAGGAAAAAGAACCCACCTTGGCTCATTGAAATATTTAAGAACATCTCTCTCTTTTTTTTCCAAAGGGAGAGAAAAGTGGCATCACCAAAAAAATTGAACAAAAAGGCAATGAGTTGCATTTGTGTATCCATAGCTACAAGAAATTTGATGCAAAAATATGAATTAAATAGAAATACAGTAAAATTTCAGCCAAATAAGAAAAATTGTGCTAAATGGAAATTATTGTTTCCTTTTGATGTTTTGTCTTGTGCCTGTTATAACAAACTGTGTTTTTTATTTAATTTTAGTTGTTAAGTTATAATTCATGTTTATATGTTGGGTTGTTTAAATTTTGTTAGAATTGATGTACTGTTGTTGTATTTGGGCATTGAATGTTTGCTTTTTATGTTTGGAATCCACCCTGAGTCCTTCCAGGGAGATAGAGTGGAATATAAATAAAGTTATTATTATTATTATTATTATTATTATTATTATTATTATTATTATTATTATTAATGTTGATGGGACTCGATGTGCTCTCTCCTTATGGTTGTTTATCTTTAAACTGAACTTGAAAAAGATACCCATTTGAATTAAGACACCTTCAGATTGAGAATAGTATTTGTGGCCATCATGTTTTATCCAGGAACACTGCAAACTTTTCTGCTGCAGGATAGGTAAAAAGCTGTCAAATGTAATAATCAGTTTCTATTAATAAAGTCCCATTACTTTTATTTTGCTTCCTTGGACCACAGAGTGCTTTGTGAGCAGGGAAACAGCATGCCACTTTTGGCATGAGTTGTACAGTACCTTTTTCAGTTCCATCCACTCATGTTTTTTGGGTTCAAAAATTGGACTGGAAATCATTTTTTGGAACAACATCATATGTACTGAGAAGTAGGCTGTGAATGTTTGTGTGTTTTAAAGCTTAAATAAAAAAACAAACCTCTGCAGATAAGCTATGGTGGTGGTGGTGGGGATTTCATGCGCTTGATAGAGGTGAGAGCAAAAGAGGTCAAGTTTCAGACATCTATAACAGAACAACATATTTCAGAGCAAGGGAGGGCAAACTGTGCTACTTTTCAGATATATTTGGATTACAGTTTCCACCTGGATAGTCAGTGGAATCTGTAATCCAAGAACAATTAGTAGACCATGAGTTTCCTGCTCCTACTTTAGGGGAAATTTCACTGTATCAACTGAGAACCAAATTTAACTAATCATAATAGGTCAGAAGAAGCCACTGTGGTCCTGTGCCTTTACATAGACTCTGATTTCTGGCAACCCTTCCCTAGCATTTTCTTGATGGGGTTGGTTCTGAGGAGGTTTGTTATTCCTTCATATAAGGCTCCATCTAAAATGTGGTGTATGCAGCACATTAATCTGGAATAATCCTGGAAATTTAGGTTTATTCTGGGTTAAAAAATATTTGGAGGTATGGGGCATACGTGATCTCAGGAGCAGTCTCCACAATGATCAAGCAGGTTGCGGAGGATGGATGGCAGTGGCAGCCCCCCTCCCCCAATTGTTCATTTTTTTCTGTTTTTAAAACACTAAAAATAGTCTCCTTTTTGAGCCTAAAGGCTTCTCCTTCCTCTGTTGCACCTGTAAATGACGTAACAGAATTTCCAAGGGGGAAATCCCCCCTTCCATCTAGAAAGCTCTGTTCATCCTTTAGAGGTGCCACAGAAGAAGGAGACACTTTCAGGCTCAGTAAGCAAGCTATTTTTTTAGTATTCTAAGGGCAGAAAAGAGGGTAAAGGAGGGCAGGCTATGGGGCATCTCCTTGAGTGCCAACTGCAAATTGGCACATATGGGAATGTGGCCATCCCCTAACCCGAAAGGCAAGGTTTTAGCCCCCTGTATGAGCATCAAATTTGTATGAAATCAGCATTTTAAACTCCAATTTCATACTAATTTGTGTAGAAGGCCCCACTGAGTGGGTAAGTTGCCAAGGTCACCTGTGAACTCACATGCTTGAGTGGGGATTTGAAACCTGATCTCCTAGATTCCTAGTTCAAGAGTCAAACTGCTATACCATATTTTCAGAACCTTTTCATCTCCTAAGCACAAAATTAGAGAAGCATAATGCCAAGTGATGATTTGTTTAGAGAACTACTTCCAAAAGGCCCCTTTTATTTACACTTCTATCACCATTTTTGTTGCTGCGTACCTTTGAAGTCCAGCTGATGTCAACCCTAAGATGAACCTATCATGGGTCTTCTGAAGCTGAGGGACTGACTCACTCAAGGTTACCTTGAGTGGATTTTCATGGTTGAGTGGGGAGTTGAACGATGGCCTCTAAAGTCATCGCCCATGACTCAAACCACTACACCAGGCTAACTCTCTATTCATCTACCATTTCTAAACAAGTTCCATCCATGTCCTCCAAATAACTATACTGTCACAAGGAAAAATGATGTATTTTCTTCCATTTGCATCTGTATCTAATCAGTATGGTAGAGATGTCTCTTCATGGTAATAGCAGAAATGCAACACTTGAAGAAAAGACATCTCTGTATAGCAACTGTTTCCTGGCAGAAAGGAATGGTTACAAATGCCAGATCATGCTGAAATAATAGGAGGGAGTTTTTAAAGGCCTTGGCACCCAGGCAGTCTTTGTGTGACATGTTTACTTAGCTGCTGCATGCCTCTTTGTGCAGGATTTCCAGAGAAAGGGTAGTTCCCAGTGAAAACAAAACACAAATTGAATGAGCAAAAGAGTGTGAGAGCTGAAGAAGAAATCAGTTGGATTTATTTATATTTGTGGAGGTTCCTATTCAATGTGGAATATGGGTCTCCAAAGCTCAACTAAAAGTGGATGAAGTGCTGATCTCTAAATAGTGTTGAATTACACTTTGCTTTGGTTCTAAGCCAGGTTTGGGGAAACTCTTTCAGCATGAGGACCCCCATTCAGTATCAGAGTGGTGAAGAGGAAAAGTCAGAAAGTGCCATAAGGCCTAATTAAGAAAAGAAAAAAACCCCACGAAGAGCAGTTTGTTTGGGCATGGAAAATGTTGTGAGATTATAGAGATGTCAAGTTAAGTTAAACATGTACAAGACATTCTTAACCATGTTCCAAAATGCCCTGATATATTAGGCTATGATAACAGCAGAAGAAGATAGAACAAATAAGTGTGGTGTTTCTAGTTTGAAAATAGAGTTTGCTTCTTATTGGTGGGCTCATACATGTGTCATAGCCTTGTGTGGCTTTATGTTATTATTTTTTTCATGCCAGGAGCGACTTGAGAAAGTGCAAGTCACTTCTGGTGTGAGAGAATTGGCCATCTGCAAGTAGGTTGCCCAGTGTATGCCTGGATGTTTTTGATGTTTTACCATCCTTGTGGGAGGCTTCCCTCATGTCCCCGCATGGGGAGCTGCAGCTGACAAAAGGAGCTCATCCATACTCTCTCTGGATTCGAACCTCCGATCCACCCGTCTTCCGTCCTGCTGGCACAAGGGTTTAACCCATTGTGCCATTAGGAGCTCAGTCTATGTTAAATAAACGGAGGTGTGCAATTTACTATCAGACTATTCCTAAATTTAGAGGGTTAGAAAATTCATATTCAAATGTTTTTGGAGACTATGTTCTAGTGATGGTGAGAGCCAAAGGCAAGAGGATGGACCAAGAAAGCCACCATATCTTAGTTCAGAGCTCTAATCACCAATAACTAAACTTTGGGAAAAGTAAATTAGTAGAAAAACATGTTAAAAACTGGAAACCACCAGATGATCATATGCTGTGCAAGGGCTGTATGAGGACCAAGTTTGGCTCTTGGACATGAAGTTTCCCATCCCTACTCATAGCAAGTGCAATTTCTCAGAGTGAATACCTGTAACAGGAGCACAAGCAACTTCAGTCTGGATGGAGATGCCTGTATCAATAGTCTTGGACTCTGAATGTATGGGGAAAAAAGATGAATAAATACACACCCGAATAAAAGCTGCTGGCCAAATGCTTATTGTAACCAATGCAGATTTTAAAATGCACATTGAAAGTTAATAACCCTTAGGTTTGTTCACTCTTTTTGTAGAAAACACACAAAACTCATAGTGGGTTTCAGCATCCCCTGACCGTAGCTTCAATATCCACATGCAGAGATACACAGTGCCAGCGCAAAGCCCATGCAGAATGTTGACCATGCAGGCTGAAGAAGTCTGAGAATTGTGGTTCAAAAAAGTAACTTTTCCAAGCTCTGGACCTTCTTACAGGCTCATGCAATACACTTTAGTAATTTGGGAGGTTTTGAACATTTACAGCTATAGGGAATCCAAACCAGTAATAGTTATGATATTTGTACCTGAAAGTGCAGTACAGTACAGTTTACATTTGCACCAGTTAACCCAGACAGGGGAGAAACCCTATCACTGCATGGAATGTGGGAAAAGCTTCAGGAAGAGGGCAAATCTACAGTTGCATCAAAAACCCATACAGAGGAGAGACCATAGAAATGCATGGAATGTGGGAAGAGCTTTAAGCAGGACTCAGGTCTGTATTCACATCAAAAAAATGCATACCAGACAGAAGCCATATATATGCATGGAATGTGGAAAGAGCTTCCCTTATAGGAACAGTTCATGTACAAATCTAAGAACCCACACAGAGGAGAAACCATATAAATGCATGAAATGTGGAAAGAGTTTCCGTCAGATTGCACATCTACATTCACACTGAAGAACCCACTGACAGGACAAACCATTCCTGGAATCAAGGCATCCTACTCCCTTAGCAATTTTGTTATTGGTTGTTGATTTTGATGCCTGTTTTTATATACTGTTATAATGTTGCTGTTTTATTTTTTTATACTGTTGTTATGTATTTTAATGTGTTACATTTTAACTGTGTTGATCGGGCTTGGCCCCATGTAAGCCGCTCCAAGTCCCTCTGGGGAGATGGAGGCGGGGTTCAAAAATAAAGTTGTTGTTGTTGTTGATTATTATTATTGTTATTATTATTATTATTATTATTATTATTATTATTATTATTAGATACACAGCAAGATTAGTACACAGCAAACAAGATCACTCTCCTGGCTGTCGTATTGGATCACGCATCGGTCACTTCTCAAGTGTCTAGGACTGTTTGATGTATCAGAGAATAATGCGTGAAGATCCCAGTAAGGTGGCCTTCTGCAGCTGGCAGATGGTAATTTTGTCAGTGCCAATTGTGTTTAAGTGCAGGCCAAGGTCTTTAGGCACTGCACTCATTGTGCCAATCACCACTGGGACCACCTTTACTGGCTTGTGTCAGAGTCTTTGCAGTTCGATCTTTATATTTTCATATCGTGTCAGCTTTTCCAGTTGTTTCTCTTCGATCCTGCTGTCGCCTGGGATTACAACATCAATGATCCATACTTTGTATTATTATTATTATTAAAGAGGCAGCAAACTGTCTTAATTCTATAGTGTAGTTGCACCTATTGTTGGTCACATTTGTTGGCCAACTGGTGTGTGTTCCACCAAGCAACACCACCTGCTTTTTACAACTCACTCAATTGGGCATTCCCTCACTTTCCCCCTATTCAAAAAGGAATTTTACTGTTTTGTTTAGGCTTTTGTTTGTCTGGTGAAAAAATCAGCACGTGCATGCACAAAATCCTGCTCAGCCAAACTTACTTCTGAGTAGGTATGCTCACTAAGAGAAAGACTGAGATTGCCACCCTCCATTCATCAACCTAGGGTGAGTCCCACTAAACTCAGTAAGACTTATTTTTGAGTAGTATTTCCTTTTTAGTTGTTTGCTACATACTTTGAAAGTAGTTGTTATACTTCAGAAACTTTGTCTTTGTGGTTGCCACAAACCATGTTGAATTGGTTGAACTTAATGAGTTATTCATTGAAAAATGATAGCAAACTGTGCTGCAGGATCTCCTGCTAAAACAAAGTTTTGCAGTTTAATAAACTTTTCCCATGTTTTTATGATAGAACCAATTAAAAATGACATTTATAACCCAGGAACAAAAATTGTGGTACATAGTGTTATATGTGTCATCTAAAAAAAAGCTGATGAAGCATTTGCACCTATGGAAAGTATATATTTGTGTGTGGATTCCCAGTGAAAAGGAGGATCTTGGATCATATCCCAGAATTTTTGAATTGAATTACAAGCATCCAGCTTCAGGCAAGCATGAGACAAAATGACCACTTCACAATTTTCCTAGCTCCAGAACTCAACCCATATTTATTTAACACCCCATTACAAAGCAAATGGATACATGATGGATGCAACAGGCTGAGGCAGGAACATGGGGAACACCCTTGCTGGCACTGCTAACCCACAGCGTCAGATGAACATGGTTATATTTGTTCTCCTTGATCAACTTCCCTCAAATGTTTTGGCACAACTATATAAATGCAAAACAAAAATCTCCACACAATTTGGGATGAGGGGGAAGGAGGAATCTAAATAGGGACTGGGGGCAATCCCCAAACAGCCAAATGAGGACGATGGAAAATATGCATCTGTGTAAAGTACATATCCATACATGGTGATCAGACTCAGTGGCCTTGGGAATGGTGACTGAGTGACTGGGATAAAAGGAGTTGAACACCAAAAGAGAGGTGGATTGAAAAATAATATTCTGCACCCAGCTGCCTCAAACCCACAACAAAAGAAATCCACACTGCGACATTTGTTATATTCTAAAAAACACATCTGCAAAAGTAGATATCCAAGATCATTCCAGATTCATTTCGTGTTTTAATTTCATTGAGCATGCAGGCAACATTGGATTTTAACCTTACAAGTAGAACTGTTGATTCACTGCGTGGGAGGTAGTGAGGTCTGAAACAAATAGGAGAGAATTCATACTGCTCACCAAGATTGCTGAGCTGCATAACGCTGGAACTTTGCTGCTGGCTCTCTGGGGAATATTGGCAAATTTTTCGTTTGAAGGACAAGAAGAGGTGTTGGCAGAGCTCTTCAGGAATATCAACCTCCAGATAGGTTCTCATGAAAAGCTGGAATCCTTCATAGTCGATAGGCTGCAGGGAGGAAAGGAAGGCAGTCAGGACCCTTTAGAAATCCAGCTGGAGCTCTTTTTGTTAAAAAAGGAGACCCACGCCACACATTTAAATGAATACTGATTTCCCACAAATCACAATGATAAGAACTGGCCACCAACTGTTCAGGATTCCACAACACAGCTTTTGGTCACAGATCTTTCTGAGACTCTGAAGAAAGCTATCTACTTTTTGTGCTTTCAAAAGCACATAAACACATGTTCAGAGTATTTTGCATAACATTTATTTTATTTCATCAAATATGATTGATTTCTAAAAAGCAGAACATCAAAGCAATATTTTCAAAGAACCGCACTGAGAAGAGACATGATAGCCATGTATAAATATGTGAGGGGAAATCATAGGGAGGAGGGAGCAAGCTTGTTTTCTGCTGCCCTGGAGACTAGGACGCAGAACAATGGCTTCAAACTTACAGGAAAGGAGATTCCACCTAAACATGAGGAAGAACTTCCTGACTGTGAGAGCTGTTCAGCAGTGGAACTCTATGACCTGGAGTGTGGTGGAGGCTCCTTCTGTGGAGGCTTTTAAGCAGACAATGGATGGCCATCTGTTAGGGGTGTTTTGAATGCATTTTTCCTGCTTCTTGGCAGGGGGTTGAACTGGATGTCCCACAAGGTCTCTTCCAAACTCAGTGATTCTCATTCATTCTTTTTTTCTTTTATTCAAAAATCATTGGTAACTTCCCTTTTATTCCAAGATACATTTTAATGAGACTACTTGTTGTTTGACAGAAATAAGACACTGACGTGGGGTATGACAACATAATTACATCCAGATATTGGAACCTCTGAATCTCAAACAAGTTAATGGTTATCACTGTATCAATAGAGACTAATTTGTGTATCACAAGAACCACCAAGCATGCCAAAAGCAGAATTAGATCTAGATGAAATTTCAGTTGAAATGAAAGTATTCAGGTGACCCCAAACTGCTTGCAAAGAAATAACCAAGACCTGGATGATTTTCTGTGCAGATTAATAAAGAAAATACTAAAGCAGGGTTTATGTAACAAGATCAGTGGTTCCCAACCATGTTTTGACTAGGGGCCACTTTGACCAGGGTCCACTCTCCAACATTAGTACGAAAAAGGTTACGAATCAGGTTTTGATCAACTTTAGATTCGTTTTGGTTATTTGGGATGCTGATTCAGAAAATTGCATTAGATAGACCACATCAGCTCTAGTTTCTGAAACAGAACAGATGCCACCCAGTAGTCACCATCTGCTCACCCACAGAAAATCATATTTAATAATCTAGAGCTGATGTGGACTATCCAATGCAATTTTCTGAATCAGCACCCCAAATAACCCCAGAGATAGTCCTAAAAGCGAAGACACCAAGGTGCCCCTGCTTCCAGGTGCCACATGGAATGGCTCCACTCAGGGGGAGGGAGGAGGAGAAGCAGCAGTCAGGACATCCTCCCGATGTCCCTGTTATATCGGTTTTGCGAGACCAGTCACTCTCATTGCAATGGTATAGTAACCATGAGGCCGTGGACAACATTTTAGTGGTGGTCCACATAATACAGGTTAGGAACAACTGATTTAGATATTTATTTATTTATTCAGTTGCAACTGAAGATTAAGAAAACAAAAATAATGGCCACAGAAGATGTATGTGCCTTTAAAATGAAGTTTAATGTGAAGCCATCAAAACTGTAAAAGATTTTCTTTGCTTAGGAGGAAGCATTGATTAGAATGAAGAGCACTAAGATTTGGAAGGGCACCTATGAAAAAACTAGATAAAAGGGTAAAGATGCACTTCTAAACGTTAAAGTCAGAATTATCAATACCATAGCATTTCCAAATTCTATATAGTGATATGAAAACTAGACAATGTACAAGAAAGCAAATAAGAAACCACCTTAAAAGGAGAATTTTACAGTGGCCTAAAAAGCTGGATCTGTTTGGCTTGTAGAAGAGAAGGTTCAGTAGAGGCATGAGAACCATGCTTAAATATCTGAAAGGATGCCACAAGGAAGAGGGAACAGGATTGTTTTCTGCTGCTCTGGAGACAGGGATTCGGAGTAACAGGTTCAAATGACGAGAGGAGATTTCTGAACATTAGGAAGAACTTCCTGACTGTAAGAGTTGTGGAACTATCCACCTTAGAGTGTGGTGAAGGTCCTTCCTTGGAAGCTTTTAAACAGAGGCTTGATAGTCATCTCTCAAAGGTACTTTGAATGTGCTTTTCTTGCATGGCAGGGGGTTGGACTAGATGGCCCATGTAGTCTCTTCCAACTCTGTTAGGATTCTATACAGATACCATAGCCCACCTTAAAGACAAATTATATTGCGCCCTTACAGCAAATTAGCCTGAACTCACAAGATAAGTCAAATGACTAGACTGAGGCCATCTTATTCTGGACATATGAAAAAATCTGACTCTCTGAAAAATAGGAAAACTATTTTGGATAAAAGCTTAAGGCAGTAAGAGAAAAGAAGATAACTGCATTATAGATAGATTGACCTGAAGGAAGTCAATGCCTTGAGTTTGCAAAATCTGAGCTAAATTGTTAATAACAGGGTACCACAGAGGCCTTTCACAGATAGGGTTGCTGTAAATCAGAGTTGACTTGACAGCATATAACAGTAACAACAAGGAGAGTTGTCACAAGGTGATACATAGGTTTGGGAGTCTACATTATTTTATGAACATTTGAGATTTCTTTCTCCTGTGCTCTGTTTAGAGGTCAGAAAAGTATGGACACCACCCATGTTTGCTGGGGGATTCTGTAAATTCTGGAGTATTTAAAAGCTCTGCCTTACACACTTTATAATGAAGAGGCGAGCTTTCCCTTGACAACTTTTAAAAGCAACTAGTAGCTAGCTACATTTTAACTCAGAGCTTTTGTTTTTGGCTCATCATCAGGACTGATCAATAAGCCATTTAAAACACAGAACATAAATCTGAATACACTGACAGGGCATGCAAACAAGCCTCCATGGTGAGAAGGATGATTACTGTAAGTTATGGAAGGTCAGAGCTGGAATGGTGTTATTCAGCTCTCAGAAAAACAGATCACATTAGCAGCATTGCATTGCCATTGAAGAAGGGGGAATGGAAAAAGGATGTTTACAGGTCAAGTACATATAATTGAATTTCAGGAATGTTTCAGATAGGTATGAGAATGGTAGGATTTACAGTTAATTGTATTTTAATTGTATTTTGTGACATGGAATAATTGCTTGATTGTTTTTTGTTTTGTTTTTGATGCTTTCCCCTTGTTTTTAATTTGCATCATGGCTGTTGATGTTAACCACCTAGACTCTCTATATTGGGAGAAAGGAAGGATTGAAATGAAATAAAATGAAATAAAAAAGGTTTAGTCTAAGTCAGTGTTTCTCAACCTGGGGGTCACCCTGGGGAGGTTTTGAAGGGGTGTCAAAACCCCCTTTGGAGGGGTCTCCAAAGACCATCAGAAAACACAGTATTTTCTCACCTCTGAGGAAGCTTGCCATAGATGCAGGCGAAACGTCAGGAGAAATGCTTCTAGAACATGGCCATATAGCCCGAAAAAACCCACAAGAACTGAGGGACAGTATTTTCTGTTGGTCATGGAGGTTCCGTGTGGGAAGTTTCGGCCCAATTCTATTATTGGTGATGTTCAGAATGCTCTTTGATTGTAGAGGAACTATAAATCCCAGCAAATGCAACTCTCAAATGTCAAGGTCTGTTCTCCCCAAACTCCACCAGTGTTCACATTGGGCATTTTGAGTGCTCTCTGGATGTAGGTGAACTACAACTCCAAAATGCAAGGTCAATGCCCACCAAACCCTTCCAGTATTTTCTCTTGGTCATGCCAAGTTTGGTTCAATTCCATCTTTGGTGGAATTTAGAATGCTCTTTGATTATAGATGAACTATAAACCCAAGCAACTACAACTCCCAAATGGCAAAATCAATCCCCCCCAATCCCAACCCCAAAAGTATTCCAATTTGGGTGCATAGGGTATTTGTGCCAAATTCGGTCCAGTGAATAAGGATACATCCTACATATCAGATATTTACCTTTACGATTCATAACAGTAGCAAAATTACAGTTGTGAAGTAGCAATGCAAATAATGATCTGGTTGTGGGTCACCACAACATGTGGATCTGTATTAAAGGGTCACGGCATTAGGAAGGTTGAAAAACATTGGTCTAAGCTCTTTCCCTACTGCAAAAGAAGTGAAAGGACTGGCACCAAAGAGGAGATTTCCTCCAATCTGCCTGGCATCACATGCTATTTTGCATCACTGTGAAATGCTTTGTAGAAGGAAACAGAGACAACTTCATCATGACATTGGCTGAAGATATGATGGCATTGTCCCTCAAGTATCATGCCACTAGGGACTGAACTGACATTGACAAAATCTGTCTAGTGCAGAAATTATTTACAAAAAGATAGTAGTGAAAATGGATATTTTCTAGATGATAATAAATGCCATAGGCATGGTCTGAAAGGATTGCGATTGATTCTGATTTTCCTGCTTCTTGGCAAGGGGTTGGACTGGATGGTCCACGAGGTCCCTTCCAACTCTATAATTCTATGATTCAATAAAAACTGGGTGCAGTTGAGAATGCCTATAGAAATACAATTGGAGTTAAAGTAGATAGACATCCTTAGAGCAGTCAGATGGTTTGTCCCAATAATATACTAAAAGTATGTATTTAAACTGAAAAATAACAGTAGTCTTCCTAACTTGTTATTGATTTATGCATCTTACTTATTTGCTTGTTCCTCGTGAAAGCATATACTGCCAACTGCCCAAAACCTATTTCTTACAACACATTTTCTTACTGCACAGAATATGTCTGGCTGTATATTAAAATAATGGCTGGAGAGCAATAGTAGTGATGTTGGAATCCAAAACGCTTCATAAAACAAATAATCATAATAAACACATTTGTTCTGGTTGGTACACACTGGACAGAGAACCAACTTTTTTTGCTTTCTGTGGTTGCAACAGTCCTAGTTTTAAACCTCTGTGAGAAAAGACTATCAGACAGAGAGAGAAAATCCATTTATATACCAAAACCCATCATAATAATTGGTCACAGGCTACAAAACAGGAATTCATTGAAATCTACTTGTTCTAGTACAAATAAACAGAAATATATCAGATTACAGAAAAAAGACAATACATATAGAAAAAATACACTGAGCTCTGCTTAGTTCTTTGCACAAAAGCAAGTATATATTCAGAAACATATACATCTACAGAGGTAAAGCAGAAATACACTGCAGCAAACATACAGCACCTAATAAGCAGCTAGAGCTATATTCCAGAAATGCAACTATGTGTATTTCTGCCAAAGAAAACACAATACAGCACCTCTTACGTACATTGAAAGCAGTGGCTTATGCTGGACTACATGCGTAAAGCAAAAGCAGCAGACTAGAAATGCAGCTAATCTTCTTAATAGGTCTGGGCAATCTAGGACAGTGGTTCTCAACCTGTGGCTCCACAGATGTTTTGGCCTTCAACTCCCAGAAATCCTAATAGCCGGTAAACGGTTGGGATTTCTGGGAGTTGCAGGTCAAAACACCTGGGGACCCACAGGTTGAGAACCACTGATCTAGGAATTTGAAATGTGCAGTACAAGTTATGGCATGTATTGCCAAGTGCATGTATTGCCAATTGCATGGCAAGTCTCCCTGGAGCTACAACAGGATCATGCATGGTTGTGTTCAGCTGCTAGATTGGGAAATATATATATATAAAAATCTCTCACAGTACATGTACCTTTTATATCTACCTGTATGTGACTGTGAACTACTCGGTTTGCAATGCAAACATGAATTGGAAAACTCAAATAGCTTTTCTGATATTATGAGCCCCTATAATGGCTTTCTGATTCACAATCATTTGGAGGCTCACCACTTTCATGATAACACTACTTTGAGGATTTGTACTGGGGAAGCAAATATCTGGAGATCAAAGACATCAATAAGGTCTTTCAAGAGATTGAGGGGATGTGGGATTTCCTTTCCTAACTCTACAACATAATGTTGCAGCCAGAACCCACAATCCTGCAAGAAGACTATCATTTCAAGCAAATTATCAACATGCCACTCACTCAACATTATTGTTGAGAAAGTGTGCCAACCTTATGGATTGTTTTGCACTTTGAACACCCCCACTGACTCTGCAGTTCAGCAATTAACTGAAGTTCAGTTGAAGGGTTTTCATTCAAGACATTAAACATTACATTTGAGACCCTCTACTATGATTTGTGCCATGGGCAAACGTCATTCATATGGATTGGAACCTGCATCACAAAGTTGAAAAATGGACTACAGTTATGGTTTCGGTATTTCTTCCAGCCAGACAGCCAGCCATATCTTCCTCCTGGATACTCCCTTCCCTTCTCTTCTGGCTTTTCCACCTTCCCATCTAAGTCAGTATTTTGCATGCTCACTCTTCACTATATTAGTTTGGTTTTTCCCTTTCCTTTGGAAACATTTGCTTAAAGATTTGCCCTTTCCTTTTGCAAACCTTAGGGTTCCCTTGAGAGTACTGATTCCACTCTCTTTGCCTATGGAAGAATATGTACTCAGAGAAAATGATACAGGGAAAAATTGGCTGCCAAAGTGAACTTCGTGAATGAAATCAAATTGCTAAGCCCAATTAGAGAAAACCCTTGGAATCTATAAGATTTATGTAATTATTGATTTACCATGCAGCAATTGATTCAATGGATCTGCTCCACCTTGGGACTAGTAATTGAATTTATATTCTGTATTTATATCACAGGGTAATTTAAGGAAAGGCTGATTCAAAGCTCATTTGTGGAAAATCCTTAAATTCACAGGCACCTTCCTGCAATACAATCCTCACTGATGGTAAGCCATGTTTTTCATGGATTATACTACAAGAATAATGACAGAAATTCACTATGCATTGAACCAAAGTGACAAACTGCCTCTGTACATTTGGACATATATATATGGCAATTGTAAGAATATATATGTAATCTTGAGGGTTCACTACATCCTACCTCCTTTTATACAGTGCTAGTTGAAACTACATGCCATACTTAGTTTTTGGTGGTTCTCCATTTGTGCTGAAGCAAACATGCAAAGCAACACAGAAACATCACGTGTGAGTAATACAGCATACAAAACAAGCCTTACTTGGTTCAGAGTGTCTTGTTTCTGAGGAAAGGAAGAGTAGAAAAAGACAAAGCGATGTTCAGTGTAGAAGTGCCTGCGCACCAGAAGGAACAGAAGTAGCTACTCTGCTGGACACAAGCAACCCAGATATTGCAGTCAGGAATTTATACAGTCCTTACCATGACTGTACCACTCAGAATGTACTTGGCAGAATCAGCTGTTTTACAGTATTCCAGCTGCAAAAATTCCCAGTGGTTAAAGAAGCTTACATGAAAGGGAAAAAATCTATTTAAGGTTTCACTGTGGAATTAATCCCATTTGACACCACTTTAACTGCCATGACTCAGTGGTATGGAATCCATACAGCTGTAGTTTGGTAGAAATACAGCTCAATAGTGTAACATTAGAAAATGTTGACTATTTCCGCTACCTTGGCAACCACCTTTCCACAAAAGTCAACATTGACACTGAAATACAACACTGCCTGAGCTCTGCGAGTGCAGCAATCTTCCAAATGAAGCAGAGAGTGTTTGAGGATTGGGACATCTGCAGGAAGACTAAGGTGCTTGTTTATAAAAAGTTATTGTCCTCCCAACTCTGTTATATGCCTGCAAAATGTGGAGTACCTACAGATGCCACACTCAACTTCTGGAATGCTTTCATCAATGCTACCTCTGAACAATCCTGCAAATCTTTTGGGAAGACAGGCAGACAAATGTCAGTGTGCTGGGAAGTCCACCAGCATTGAAGCGATGCTCCTATGCCATCAACTCTGCTGGATTGGCCATGTTGTCCGAATGCTCGATCACCGTCTCCAAAGCAGTCACTCTACTCTCAACTCAAGAACGGAAAACAGAATGTTGGTGCACAGGAAAAGAAATTTAAAGATAGGCTTAAAGCCAACCTTTAAAACTGTGGCATAGACACCAAGAAGTGAGAAGCCCTGGCCCTTGAGCACTCTAACTGGGGGTCAGCTGTGACTAGCAATGCTGCTGAATTCGAAGAGACACAAATGAAGGGTAAAAGGGAGAAACGTGCCAAGAGGAAGGCATGTCAAGCCAACTCTGATTGGGACTGCCTTCTACCTGGAAACCAATGTACTCACTGTGGAAGAACATGCAGATCAAGAATAGGTCTCCACAGCCACCTACGGACCCACCACAAAGACACTACACTTGGAGGGCCATCATCCTCAGGCTATGAGGGATCACCTAAGTAAGCAGTTTGGCAGAGAAAGCAAAAGACCTTGTGATCCCATGATTTCATAGCATTGAGCCATGGCAGTTAAAGTGGTGTAGATGCTCACTCAGAGTAGGCAATGCTTCATAAACTTGATGCCTTGAAAGAGGAGGCTATCTTCTGTTAAGAGAGACAGGAGGATGCTCTCCTAATCAAATCTTTCCTCCTGCTCTGAGCAACAGTAACAATCTGACTACATTGCTAAAGGCCACCTGAACCATGTCCTTAACCTGCCTGGGTCAGCAGTACTGGAATCTCCCCTTAAAGAGTGGGAAGTCCAATCCTACTCTGTTTTTTCCTAAGTGATGTGGGAAAAGGCCTGCCGTGATATAATTCTGAGAATTGAATTACTGCCCCCGCACCCAACAGGTGAGAAAGACATTGAACAAATGCAAAGTAAATATCACAAAAGGACTGGAGGAAAATACCCTTCCACCTTCAGCCCCTTTATGGTCAGCTTCCTCTGCAGCTCTCTGCTGGAAAGCAAATCATTTCTTCAAGGAGACTTCAAAGGCAATTAGTCATTAAAGTCAACGGCAAATGCAGTAATTTCTCTGGGCCCAAAGGAGTGAATTATACCTCAGTCGATGGCTTTGTGCAATGGTAATCATTGCAGTCGTATCTCTTGCTGGGGGATACAAACTGCTACCTTGGGAAGAAAGCCATGCCGCCTACTTGCAGCCACCCCACAAAACAGCATTTGCCCTGCCTAACAAGCCCACTCCGTAAGAGGCAGCACAGTGGCAATTTCCGTTGTTTCTTTTGTTGGCTTGTCCTTGTAATTATTTCATGTGTCAAGAGCTTCCTGGCAAATTCTTTTGTGCCCATTCCTCCTTTAATTTCATTTGATATTGCCCCCATCCTGGAGTGCTTTGTGCACTTGAAAAGCTCTGTTGTGGGCTCCTTTTCTTACTTGGATCAACTAGCTATTGGTGTTCTTAGTAATCTTTTCTTCCTATAATGGAGGAGACACATTGTTTTCTACTGCGTATTGCCCCTGTGAAAAGTCCTCTTCAGATCCTGGGAAAGTTACTTGGTGCAACCATAACTTCCAGAATCCTTCAGTCAGTATGATAGTGGTTATGCTGGCTAGGGGTTTGCGACAGCGGTAAATACAAAAGTAACTATTCCAACGTATGTTTCTTGCTTGTCTCCATCTCTCCCCCAACAAGAATGGGAGTGAGACAGTCTTTTAGAAGTTATTGGACTGCAACTCTCAACATTCTGCATCATTGTCAAGGGGTGCTGGAACTTACAGTACAAGAACATCTAGATCAGCCATGGGTAAACTCTGGCCCTCCTGGTGTTTTGGACAGCCTCAGGTCCCTTCCTTTTCCCCCTGAGGGAACCTGAGGCTGTTAGGAATTGTGGGAGTTGAAATCCAAAACATCAGGAGGGCCGAAGTTTGCCCATGCCTGATCTAGAGGCCTTTGTGTTTCTTACATTAATTGTAAGAAATCTAAAAATCTGTCTATCATTTTATCATTTTCTTTGTCCTTCACCACCTTTTAAAAAGATGGAGAACCAATTCCCAGAACGTGAGGAATTATCCTTTTCTTATGTGGTATTATATTTAAAGGAGAGGCATGCAAGAAAATGTACCTAAAACTTTAATATTTTCTCACTCCCCTTCCTTTTTACAGAGAGATGTGCATGTGAAAACAAGGGAGAAAATAAGAAACATTGCCCCTTGTTTACATTATAAATATTGGCTAACAAACTGGTGAGATGGTTTCTTGAAATGTTCCAATTGACACATGTTTAATCACTCTATATAATATATTGCTTTTAATATGTAGCCTGTCCTACCCTAGAGTGTTAAGAGTTGACAACAATAGAATTGGAAGGCTTTAAAACAGCTTTCTTCCATTAAAATTAAAGCAAAATGTAACAAACTCCATATTTGTTACTTCTGATCCCCAAACTGATCCTGGAATGCATTTTTTTGGATTTTGCATCAAGGATACCTGTAATTGCAGCTGCAGCAGAAGTGTTGGATCTGTTTCTAGTGTGGCAACAATGTATTTTAAATAAATTTATGGGGCTCGGGGCTTTCGCATATTTGTCTCCCATTCCATTCAGAGGGACTGACTTTGGAGTGAACACGCTAAGGATTAGACTGCATTTCATTAGCACTATTCTCCATTGTTATTTTGAGTTAATATGCACAGGACCCCCTAGTAGCACAGTGGGTTAAACCGCTGAGCTGCTGAACTTGCTGATTAAAATGTCGGTGGTTTGAATCCAGGGAGTGGGGTGAGTTAGGCCCATCTTCTGCCAACCTAGCAATTTGAAAACATGCAAATGTGAGTAGATCAATAGGTACCGCTTCTGCAGGAAGGTAACGCCACTCCATGCAGTCATGCTGACCACATAACCTTTGAGGCATCTATGGACAACACCAGCTCTTTGGCTTAGAAAAGGAGATGAACACCACCCCCCAGAGTTGGACACCACTAGACTGAATGTCAGGGGAAACCTTTACCTTTACCTATGCATAAAACAAGCTTAATGCCATATCCTCGTAACCCACACCAAACTTTTAAAAATAACAACATCTATTGCAAACTGGGGAGATGTAAAAGTCATCAGGAATAAGAGAGCTTGCCTTCATCCCTCACCAGAGCTTAGAAAAAGTAACTTTTTGTTCTCTAACTCATAGAATGTAGTCTAGAAAAGTAAGACTCCCAAATTCTGTTCTTGCCCCTGTCCCAAAGGCAATCATCTCCCCATAACCTGTTATTATGTCCAGAAAAAAAGCTCTCTTCCCCATGTGGATGCTTTTCTGATGAAAACCACTCCCTCATTCTGTGCCATTCTCTATGTGTGATGTGTTTGCAAAATACTTGATGATAAAGGTGTGTCTAACATCAGAATTAGTTTGGCTCTTGGAAGCATCTATTTGGGGATTGATAAAATAGTTCTACTGTCACCTTTTAAAATACTCAGCCTAAGGAACAATTCTGGAACCAAAAAGAACTATTATGTCACACTGAGGACACAGGCCAATCCTAGTAAATAGCATTGTTTGACCAACCCTATGAATTTTATTCCTCTTGAACATGACCACTTGATTTTGATTCAGTCTCGTTTTAAGAAAATGCCCTCCTCATCACCAGGTTCTTTACCTGTTCTGGGTTGTATTTCGATAGGACACCATCCCCATGGAACTCTTCCAGAACATCTTTCAACTTCTTTGTGGAATCTAGATGGAGAAAGGGCATGGCAACAACATTAAGACAGAAGTGTCTGCTTCCTCTGATATTCCTTGCAGCTTTTCAAATTTAGAAGTGATTACATACAATTATGGAGATCCCATAGTTTAACCAAAGTTCTAAAAGTCATGTCGGGCACTTCAATGTCAAGGGAATTCTAGCTTTCTTCTAGAAGGTATTTTTTAAACGAACTTGCAAACGTGTGAGCTATTTAAACTCTATTTTTATAACATCCGGGATATGTTCTTTGAAGTAGAGTGCACATCAAACTTGCAAGACAAATATTTGACCCCAGTATTGTGCCAGGAACAGAGAACAGCTGTCTACTATACTACAATTCTGGACATCCTTAGGCGTGCTTTTTTCCACAGGAACATGGCCTCCAACTATTCTGATCTGTCAGGAACAAATCTGATTAATCCGATGTTACCCACTTTTTGAGCTGCTCTGAAAATATCCCAGTTTCTCTCTTCATTCTTTCCCTCTTTGTCCTTGGTTTACTTCAGTTGCTAAACCTGAACTCATATGAAAAGTAATTTTCACTCAGTTTAGCAGGTGGGTGATGAGAGAACATGTAAAGTTTTCTCCTTGCCTGTAAACTCAGACAAAAGCTATTGTTGCAGCTTCTCTTAGCTGTGTGTTCTTCTTCATTAATACCTTTTGCTTGCCCATGTGTTTCCCAGGGCACTTCCAGGGTGGTTCCAGATAGGCCTTTATCCCAGGAGAATTCAAAAATGTGGATCTTCCTGGGGGCCCATTTACAGTCACCCCAGAAAGTGCATGCTCTTTCTGGGGTGGGTGTCCAGATGTTCTACTGGGACTTCCCAGTAGAACACCGGAACACTGGAACACCCCTCCCTAAAAGCGCCCTAAACAGAGTWAAAAAAAAGACACCCCCTTCCTCTCMTGGCACATCAGGAGAACTCCGGCAACCACCCCATGGAGCCAGGGTGAATCCTTTTCTTTTTAAACTCTGTTTAGGGGGCTTTTGGGAAGGGGGTTGGTATTCCCACAATTTTCCAKGCTAATTTYGACCGGAAAACTGTGGGAATACTGTCTGGACTGCAGTTCATACACTGGAAGTCATGGGTTTATCCCACAACTTCCAAGAAGGCACGGAACAAACCCACTATCAAATTAATTTGCCACAAACCAGAGTTTTCCTGGTTTGTGGCAGATTAATTCYGCTTTGTCCGGGACGTCATCTGGACAGCACCCTTTTTATTGCAGAAATTTCCACATCAAAGGGGCTGTCTAGATCTGCCCCCCCCCCCCTCAGACAGGCCCTATATCCCAGGATCTTATCCCAGGGTTTTTTTTGTTTATCCCAGATGATCCGGCAGTGCAGACTCATATAATCCAGTTTAAAGAAGAAAATCCAGAATCAGATTCTGGGATATAGGGCCTATCTGGAAGGGCCCTCAGTTTTCCTTTGTGAAATGTTGGAGAGTATTACAATATTTTTCTCTCTCTTTAGCACTGGGCACCTACCCAGATACCAGCTTAAAAAATGGGATGACAGAGGATTAATCAGGAATGTTCCTTCCAATTTTTGACAGTTGGAGGGTATGTACAGCTTGTTTCCTCCAATTACTCAGTCACTTCCTGAACTTCCTGATGTTTTTGTTATCAGCATGATTTTTTCTTACTTGAGCCTTTGAGCAAAAACAAGGTTGTTAGTCTCACCAAAGTTTCATGGTTGAAAACAATATCATCAATACCTGATGATATTGATGCTACTGTTTATTGTATTTTGAATTTTTGCTATTATTGATTCATCTATTTGTTCACTTTCTAAGATCTACTATCATAGAGCATACATGTATAGAAATAACACCTTTACTTGGAGTTATTGCAAAGTCTATCTTAGGTCTTGTGGAGATGAAATGCAATGTATCTTAGGTTTTCATAGAGTGTGGGCTGCAACTCTACAGTCTCACCATGGAGCCCCCCGTAGCGCAATGGGTTAAACTCTTGTGCTGGTAGGACTGAAGACTAACAGTTCAGAGGTTCAAATCCAGAGAGAGCATGGATGAGCTCTCTCTGTCAGCTCCAGGGACATGAGAGAAGCCTCCCACAAGGATGATAAAACATCAAAAACATCTGGGCTTTCCCTAGGCAACGTCCTTACAGACGGCCGGTTCTCTCACACCAGAAGTGACTTGCAGTTCCTCAAGTCACTCCTGACAAAGAAAAGAAAAAAAACCAGCAGCATGGCTCCCATCTATGTTGAGTGAGGAAGATTGGACTCATAGTCCAAAAACAAAGAATTTCAAGTTTTTAATTTGGTTGACAAAAAGAGTGACGTGACTAGGTTAGATTAGTTCTACCTCCATGTCAACATATGTTGACTATGAAAGATCTCAAAAGTAAATGATTAAACATACTGAATTCTCTATTTCTTTCAATGCCTGCACAGCAACATTAAATGTTCACTGTCATGCTTATCTCTTCTGCCAAGGACCCCAGCTTGGTTTTGTCAATGGGCAGTCACATTTTTATCATAACTGTTCAACTAAGTGAGAAGAACTTCATAGTAGAAGGACTTCCTTCCTGCACACCCACACCCCAAGTTCTTTGGTCACGATGTGGCCATTTCATCCATTTCCCCCTGCTATTAAAATATTTGAGAAGAGTTATTCTATAAACTGTCTCAATGGAAGGCAATTTTCTCTCTGTATATATTTAAATCTCTTCAGTGAGGTCTCAGAGCTCCAGGAGGTGAAATGTCCCAGCAGGCTCACAGCTGAGCTGCCCTGGATTAGGAAGTCAGACTCAAAAGATCAAAATAAACTGAAATGCCAGAGGGGAAAATGCTTAAAAGTTGGAATCTGGCTTCAGATGTCTAAAGGAGCTTCTAAAAATAAACTAAGGGGCTGCTCAAATGCATAAGCTTTCTTTCTCTTAAACTGGTTATGAATGTTAAGAGGTTTGGGCTAAATTCTCTGAAAGATTACATTCATGGTGATAAGGTCAGTGGGAAATAAATTGCTTTGGATGTTCCCTTATGCCAACCTGACTGCCTGCATGTGATTTCCGCCAAAGGGAACAAATAGATGCCTCCCTGAAACAGCTTCACTGGCTACCAGTTTATTTCCAAGCCCAGTTCAAAGTGCTGGTTACAGACCCATATAACTTGGGTTTAGTATATCTGAAGCAGTGGTTCTCAACCTTCCTAATGCCGCAACATACAGTTCCTCATGCTGTGGTGACCCCCAACCATAACATTATTTTGGTTTATACTTCATAACTGTAATTTTGCTGCTGTTATGAATTATAATATAAATATCTGATATGCAGGATGTATTTTCACTCACTGGATGAAATACCTTTCCAGTATTTTCTCTTGGTCATGGGAGTTCTGTGTGCCAAATCTAATTCACTTTTATCATTGGCAGGGTTCAGAATGCTCTCTGATTGTAAGTAAACCATAAATCCCAGCAACTACAACTCCCAAATGACAAAATCAATCCCCACCCCAAACCTCACCAGTATTCAAATTTGTGTGTATTGAGTATTTGTGCCAAATTTGGTCCAGTGAATGAAAATATATCCTGCATATCAGATATTTACATTATGATTCATAACAGTAGCAAAATTACAGTTATGATGTAGCAACAAAAATAATAATATGGTTGGGGGTCACCACAACATGAGGAACTGTATTAAGGGGTCATGGCATTAGGAAGGTTAAGAGCCACTGGTCCATAGGAAGGCAACTGATCTGGTTCCTCCACAACCCTTCAAGTGAACAGTGTTAACAAACTTGCATAGCTGAGCGAGAATTGTTCTGTACTGGATCTTAGGTCAAACTGTAGTTCTGGGGAATGGACTAGAATGTCCCAGCTGAAAATTCTATGTACAACAAATCCTGGGCTTACATCTTAGGTGATTTAAGAGCATAAGATGATGTGCCATGTTACAGAACATGATAAGCTGTGCCATTCCATAAAATGAAGGTCAAGAACAACATGCATTTTATTCACAACGTGCCACAGGCTGTTGAAAAACTGTATTCTGTTGTCTGGAAATACATTCCACAACAATATAACATCCACATAAGCACAAAAGAGAGGAATAGTACTTACACTCCGTATACTGTTGGAGCTGAGCAAATTCCGCTGGACTAAGTGTGATCCATGTGCCATCACCCATTTTTCAGGCCAGCTCAGAGGAGGCGATGTCCACCTCTTGTAAACGCTCTTGGAGAAACTGCACTAGGAATTCTTCTGGGTCATTGCTCCATATTGCATGGCAACTGAATCTGTGTCACTGCTGTTAATCTTTAGTGTATATAACAGAAATCAAATGCTGATCCACATGGGAGATGATTTGCCTGGCCTCTTCATAGCTGCCCTTACAACCACTGAGCTCAGGAGTGCCATCAGAAGAGACTTCATGAAGAATGCCAGAGTCTTCCAATCTAGAATTAATAAGATAATATCATAGAATTATGTAAGTTTTTCCAAGGCACTCTTTCTGACACCCTTCTGGTAAGTCAGATATTAGCTTTGTTAACAATTTGAAAAGAAAAGATAAGAAAAGCCATAAAATGCAAGGACTCCAACAATGAAACAAGCTAGTTTCATCATGATACAAAGCCTGGAGATTGTTCCAAGTCTTCTATCATCTTTGAAGTTGACTGGATAATCTTGTGTGATTATTATCTCTTACCCCAAACTTCACCAAGCTAGCACCCTTGTAATGTATTACATTCACCATCCCCATGAGACTGAATGGCTTTGCCAATTTGCTTTTGGAAGGGCAAGATTGCACTTCTTCATTTCCTCTCTTCTGAATTAACAGAGTGCAAATTAATTTTCCACTTTGCAGTAACTGAAGTAAGCTGAGGGCAAAGGAGGAAATGGGAAGAGGACAGGGATAGTGGGAGAGTGTAAAAGAAGCTGGAAAAGTAGGATGGCAGAAGATTAATCAGGAATGTCCTTGCCAAACTGCAATAGAGGATGCTCTGAGGATGCTTGCCACAGATGCAGGTGAAACGTCAGGAGAGAATGCTTCTAGAACATGGCCACACAGCCTGAAAATCCTACAACAACCCAGTGATTCCAGCCATGAAAGCCTTCAACAATACATCAAACTGTGATAGCTTGGCGGATACGTGTTTCTCCAAAAAACTTTGAGGAATTACAGTTCTATCTTTTAAATAGGTTACAGGTCTCTCTCCACTTAGCATTAAAAACTACCTCTATTTCAAAATCATTGACCTGGCCCTCCTTGCCCAAACGTATCATCTGGCTCCTGCACTTTTCTATCAGCCCTGTCCTTGCAACTGTATCACACAAGTCCTGCCTCCCCCTTGAGCTTAGTAGATGGCCATTATGTCAGGCTATTAGTTGTTGTTGTTGGTTATGTTTTATGATGTTTTATATTTGTAATTTTTACTGTGTTATATTTTAAACTCTGTTTGACCATGCTTGTCCCCATGTAAGCCGCCCCAAATCCCTTTGGGGAGATGGTGGCGGGATACAAAAATGAAGTTGTTGTTGTTGTTATTTTGAAATAGATGTGGTTTTTAATGCTAAGTGGGAGCCAGGTTTTAGCACAGCAGGTTAATCACCAAGCTGCAATAAATCTTGCCAACCAGAAGGTTGATAGTTTGAAGCCTAGGTCAGGGTGAGTGCCTGACCTTCTGCCCAGCTTCTGCCAACTTAGCATTTTGAAAACAAATGTGAGTAGGTAAATAGGAACCGTATTAAAGTGTGTGTGTGTGGGGGGGGGGGGTATTTTCGGCTCTGTATTTAGATCAGAAAAAGGAGGAAGTTTACAAATAAAGAAAAGCTTGTTGGCAAGGAGATGGAGCGACACCACCTCCTGTGGCCAGAACTAGGCACAGCCTCCAAAGATGCAGAAAGATGGAAAGGCCTATATATATACCTCCATCTGTTGTCTGTCTTGTAATTGTATAATCTACATTGACTATTTGCTATATATGTGTTCTGTGATCCTCCCCGAGTCCCCTACAGGGTGAGAAGGGCAGAATATAAATACTGTAAATAAGTAAATAAATAATGTTCATGTATCCTCTTAAAGATTCCAGAGGCAGAAAACTGGCACCCAGGCGGAGGCGGCCCTAGGTAATTTTCAACGGTATTTTGGCGCCCCCCCCCCACACAAATCTTCACTGATATATATTTTCTGTCCGTCGTGGGAGTTCTGTGTGCCATATTTGGTTCAATTCCATCATTGGTGGAGTTCAGAATGCTCTTTGATTGTAGGTGAACTATACATCCCAGTAACTACAACTCACATATGTCAAGGTCTATTTTCCCCAAGAGCGCCTCAAGGGCACCCCTGGACAAAATCAACTATACTGCAAATGCTTACTTTGCGTAATGGGTGAGCCGCCCCTGACTAGAATACTGCAGTTGTTCATCCCTCACTGAGTCTATAACACTATGTAATAAAATTTGAAAAAAAATCTGTTCCTGGTTTGAAAGTGCTATTTCCTGTTTAATTGTGCAGTAGTTACTTTTAAAGTAGTTGCTATACTTCAGAAATTTCATTCTTGTGGTTGAGGGCAGTAGTATTATTTCCTTCAATCTAGGCACGCACTTTGTAATTTTCCTTAATTAAAATATGCAATTTTAACCTTTCAGTGTGCAAACTGCAAAAATGAAGTTTGCATTTTAACAAACCCTTCTTATGTTCTTATGTTAGAACTAATTAGGAAATGACATTTATAACCCGGAACAAAAAATATGTTACATAGTATAACCTAAACTATACTGGAGTCTAGAATACTGAATTTAGCAAGTTTCTTTTTGAATACATAAATCTGATTGCACATGTTATAGAATGGCCACAATGCAAAACACAATGGAAGCAAGCAAACAAACAAACAATAAATCCTAATGCAAGGTAATTTAATTAACAGAGAATTTTGATACCTGGTACAGCAAACTACAGGAAAAAATAAAAATGGAGACAAGGATAAAATAATGCAAGAAGCCAGAACTTTTGGAAAATGGAAAATCCATAACCTTTTGAAAAATTTGGGTAAACCAGGAATCTTTTGGGAAAGGCAAAACCTTGTTAGAGATCATAACATTTTGTAAAGCATGATCTTCTTGAGAAAGAATTAAAAACTCACTTGAGTTAACCTTCTCTTTAGTGGTATAGAATCATAGAATCAAAGAGTTGGAAGAGACCTCATGGGCCATCCAGTCCAACCCCATTCTGCCAAGAAGCAGGAATATTGCATTCAAATCACCCCTGACAGATGGCCATCCAGCCTCTGTTTAAAAGCTTCCAAAGAAGGAGCCTCCACCACACTCCGGGGCAGAGAGTTCCACTACTGAACGGCTCTCACAGTATATATCCACTTATACTCGTGCAAGGCAATTAAGTTTCTCAGCTATTAGACTAATGTACCTAGATATCTCTTTGAAATGATAGGAATAAATAAAGAGTTTCAGAAGTGTTCTTTTCAGTTGTCTAAAAAAACACTACTCCCCTTAAAACATCTTGGTAAAGCATGCTCTCAAGAGGCCAAAAATAAAGTCATCTTCGTCAAAATAATTTATTTACGGTATTTTTATCTTGCTATTCTCAGTTCAAAAGCGACTCAAGGCGGTTTACAAGCTGGCAGCAATTTGATGCCCCAAAAGTCATAAATACAATTAAAAACAAAATAACATAATTGGTTTACTCACAAATTTCATGTATTCAACATACAGGTACATTGCATATCAATCCAGGTACGGATAGGATTTGTTATCTGTGCAGATAACACAGGACATCTTTCTTATAATCAACAGTCCATACTCTACTCTAAAGCATCTCTCTGTTTTGAGAATCTAATAGAGTCTCTGTCTTTCTAAAGTATTCTGTTTCTACTGACTTCTAAAACCATATTGAGAGGGGAGGCCCTCCTCTCGCTCCCACCACCATCACAAGCATGGTTGGTGGAAACGAGGGAGAGGGCCTTCTTGGTGGTAGCCCCTCCAAATTTGGAATGTCCTTCCCCAGAGAGATAAGACAAGCCCTGACACTATCCTCCTTCCACAGGGACCAGAAAACTAGGTGGTTTCAGCAGGCCTTTGAAAATGATTAGCCCCAGGCTCATCCCTGGCCATCAGCTAGTGCCCTGCTCTGCATATTATCCACTTCCCTTGCCCTTTGCTACTTTGTTGCAGTAGCTCTTGTCCAGCCCTTTCATAGCTGTCTAGGTCCACTTTGCAATTCTGGCCTTTGGTATTTTGATTCTTGTCTGATGTAGTAAAACATTGAAACTGGCTTTTAAATGTTGTGATTGTTTTAATAGGATTATGTTTTACAATGTTTTATAATGTTTCATTTTTTGTATGGATTTTTGTGTCATTTGGCAACTGAATGTTTTGCCCTATGTTGGAAACCACCCTGATTCCTCTCAGAGATAGGCCGGTATATAAATAAATTATTAATGTTCTTCTTCTTCTTCTTCTTCTTCTTCTTATTATTATTATTATTAGTAGTAGTAGTAGTAGTATTATATACTGTTTCTAAAATGGAGTCTGAGTCATGAATATTTACAGACCTGATCACATAGTTTGCAACCCCTCCCACAACATAGAGTTAAGGAAAACTGCATATCAATACAAACACATACAAAACAGTAAGCAAACGGAATTAGATACATAACAAATTTATTTTATTTTATTTTATTTTTTATTTACAACATTTTTATCTCGCTCTTTTCAGCCCAAAGGCGACTCAGATTGGCTACAATTAGATGCCATAAACATACATACATACATACATACATACATACATACATACATATCAATTACAAACATTTAATATAAAATAGTATATTAATTGGTTTTATATGGATTTAATAAAAATCCATATAAAAACCAATTAAAATTTTAATAATTAATGTCTACCAGTTCAACTCCTTATCCATTTGCATCGTCTAAGCTGTTCCATGTTCGTTATTTCATCATACTGTATCTATCCAATTATGCTGTTACCAAAAGCTTTCTCGAAGAGCCAGGTTTTTACTCTTTTCTGAAAGATCAGGAGGGAGGCGGCCAATCCAATATTTCTGGGAAGGGAGCTCCACAGCCGAGGGGCCACCATGGAGAAAGCCCTGTCTCTTGTCCCCACCAAGTGTAAGTGTGCCTGCAAGAAAGGTGGGATCAAGAGCAGAGCCTCCCCAGACGATCTTAAATTCCTGGATGGTTTGTAAGGAGAAATACATTCAGACAGGTAAGCTGGACCGGAGTGGTGGCTTGAAGAAAATTGCTATTTCCAACAAACATTAAAAAGCAGCCAGAAAAATACACAATAATTATGTACCACAGCAAAGGCACAACAAAGTTCCACCATCCAACTATAACATGAGAATTTTGTAGAATGAACCACAGCCACACCAAATGCAAACTTCTTCAGAACAAATCTTGCCAAACAAACTTTGGGATA